TGTGTGGAGCTGAGAATTTCCTGCCCCGTAAGAAACTCTCCAATTCACCAGAGTGTCAGTCCTATTTGCTCTTTTATATTGTCATTTGGGCCCCAGTTCACAATTTGTGGTTGTGATCCATACCTATAGTTTCATTTCGCCACATAGCAAGCCACTTCCACCTCTGCGTTCCCTTTGGTTATTACTTGTCCCCAGATCTTCACCAGTTTCCACATTATACCACATAGTCATACGAATTGCTCCCTCTGTCTAGAATGCTCTTCCCCAACTCCCTGCCTGCTTAGCTGGACCTATCCACCAGTTGAGTGAGGTCAAGCATACCGTTCACTAGTCTGTTCCACCCTTCCATACCACTGTCACCAATTCATTGCATGGAAGTGATTGCGTGTAGTCCTCCTCTTTGGGCCTGACTGCAGGCCTCCTCAAAGTAGGACCTTGTCCCCTATCTTTGGACCACCACTGCCTATTTCAGTGCTTGGTACACAGCAGAAAGAAATACATTTTTGACAAAGAATGATTGATTTTTCTCTGGGAAGGGAGAATATCTGGGAAGAAGAGAACACAGGACAAAAAGAACAAATGATTTATGTTCTGAATTACTCATCCATACGAGGGAAAATACACAAAAAACATTAACTCAAAACATTCTCATCTCTACATAATTTACTTTTTCCTTTATACTTAGAAGAATTAATAAAACACACATTTAAAATCATAACCATTAAGTTTAAAAGGGCTTAATTATTTACCTAATTGATACAAACGTTTTTGTTAACTGAAATTTTGGCATTGTCTAGTATACCCAGATGTTTATATCATCACAAATAATTTTTTAACCATTTATGGCAATTCAGAAAACTGCATCTGGTATTTCTTATATGTTTCCTCTAAAATCACCACTTCTGCCAAAAACATCTATAAAGAAATCCCTCAAAAGGTTTGGGTAACAAAGCGTCTGGGAATGTATTTGGCCTATGTTCAACAGGACATTATATGTTTTCTTGTATAAATCATGTCCTGGAAAACAGAATGTCTTTATTAAAATAAAAACTCTACCATCCAGCACCATAAAAGTAGTTCCATGAAAAACATTTTAAACTTCTTTTATATTCATAGTTTTAAAACATGTTTTTATGCTTCATATTACAGTAGGTTTACTGGGGCTCATTTTATATGTTCTTCTAGATTTTCTTTAAAAAAACACTCTACGGAAATTTTCCATTCTCAACTCATAGAAGATTTTTAAAAGAGCACCAAACCTTCTTAAGAAAAAGAAAATAATAGTTATGGGGCCCTTTAAGACACAGCTATAAAATGGCAGACACACCAAAAGATTTTCCCAAAGCTAGAATCTAAACTTGTATTGTTTATGAAAACTTTTTTTTTTTGCATACCATAAAATTCACCACCCTTTTGAATAACAGTTATCAAAACAAGAACTACTTTGTGCTATTTCAATTTTATCCAATCATTTTCATTTAAACAGGAATTTATCTCCAGGATGATGGTAGAGAACAAGCAGTAAAGGAAGGAAAATGTCAAATTTGGCCATAAATATAGCAAGACAACACATCTTTTACCAGTTCAGCTGTAGCTGAGGTTCCCATAGGCGTGTATTTTCCCATGAATGACACTTCCATAGAAATTCTGAACTCTGATCAACTCAGTTAAGGAAAGACACTGTCCTGTCTGCCCCATAGAGGACTGAGTTTGAAAAATCAATGAAATATAGGATGGCACGTGAAACAAGTCTTTGGAACTACGCTGAAAAAGAACACTTCCAGGTAAAACGTTGAGAGAACAACTCTGAAAAGGAAGGGTAGCAGTAACTCTTCCACCCGCCAACATCATCTACTAAAATAGGGGGCCTGTAGGATCTTAGGGTTTCCTTTCATTGTTACTTTCCCATGGGAGGGTAGTGATGAGGAGAAAGGAAAGAAAGAGAGATGGTGTAGGGAGGGTTCTTACATTTTCGGGGTGAAATCCTACTACTGGTTTAGGGCTCCGCTCCATTCCTTTCCTCCATGGAATGCCCTTGACCCTAATGGGCTTGTTGGGGAACTAAATATGCACTGTGTTATGACCACTGTCTTAAACTGTGAACCTATGGTGTATCCATGTGATCTTACGTCCTTAACTCCCTGTAAAAAAGGATCCTATCTAGTATCTCACATAGCATCTAACAGGAAGCCAAGTAGCTGGTTCTCCTTAAATACTTAATGCCTGATAAGGTATCTTCATACTTTTCATACAAGGCATGTAAATTTCCTGAACCCATAACCACAGTTGTACATTCAGGACACTAAAAATTATGTACTCTAAGAATGATCGAAATCATCAATAATCTACTGTTTTAAAACTGGTGTTTATACACAACATAGCTCCCTTTTCATATGTTCGACCAGACTGAATCATTTAATCTCTGGTGGCAACGACAGAATCAAGCATTGCAAATAAAATGCCACTTTTTTAAGTGAGTTTCCTAATATTGTTTAACTGTTGAAACTGCGTATCAACTAATCATCAGTCTACAGATGCTCAGAAATAAAACAATACTTTGCTTCTATAATTCAAGTCTCCATGTACTTTCAGGCAACAAAAGCCAATCTGTCTTTTTCAAAATTGTTTCTCCTGGCAAATATTTTCGCTGTCTGGCCAAGTTTTGTGTTAAAAATAAAGTACAGTATTACAACATCAATCAACATTTAAAGTACTTAATGATCTATGAAAGAAAATATACAGTGATTCGCTTGAAGCAACCAAGCCAATCAAAGTTTTATTTATATTACCAAATCAAGAGTGCAACTTTGAGAAAATAAAATCACATTTGTGTTTAGAAATACAAAAGCAATATTAAGCACTTAGCTAAGACGAGAAAACAGCTTGTTAAGAAGAGCCGTAAACGGCAAGAATGACTTAAAGACAGGACAGAGCTAACTGGCTCCTGACTCCCCTTCCTGTCTGTGCAGCACTGGCCTCTCGCCTGCCCTTTCAAAGACCAGTTGTATAAGCATAATTTGAGCCTTTTCTGTAGCTAATATTGACTCCACAAAATGAGTTCCAGGTTGTTATACATTTATAATGAATATTAATTATACTTTATTACATGAATAGAGACCTAGGCCACCTAAGCCTTGTCATTTATAGTCAAAACCTGAAAATATTCTACCTCTGGGCATTTAACTGGGTGGGTGCCTGCACAAAAACTAAGTAGTGCAGGAACTCTGATAATGTCTATCAACTACGATAAGTCACAGAACTTTTTATCTTACCATCATCTACTGGGAATGACTCAGGCAGATGTCTAAAAGGGGATGTGGCCTTAAATATTATAGAAGCTTGACAAACAGCACGGAATTGTCACAGACCAATGAGCTGGTTCAGAATACTGCCTTTTCACCTCCATTAGCCTAGCCCTACCCTAAGATATCAATTCTTTGGCTAATTCCTTGGGTGCATATCTCCTCTGGGTTGCCCATATGTATTCCAGATAATGCAGTAGCTGCATTCGCCTTCAACCTAACTAGACTGTTTTCCCAGTAAATATTGCCTCCAGGCAGGGGCAACCATTTCAACATTTGGGGCACAACACAGAGGATACTGCCCTATCTTCTAAGGAGATGGTGACATACAGAACAAAATACAAGTCAGACTATAAATAACCATTTTCCTGACAGGAAGAAACATAGTAACGTGGAATGACTGTGAGCTTTGGCCAAGAGTAAAAAATCAGAGTTCAAAACTCAGTTTCCTTAACTTGTAAAATGGAACTAGTACCACCTACTTTAGAGTTGCTTGTGAAGAGCAAATGAAATAAGAGAAGACTAAATAATACAATATATGTTATATAAAACGATACTCAACAGATAATCATGTCCTTCCTGCCCATTTCCAGCTGCTCTGCTGGATTTAGAGTTCTCAGGCTGACCAAGTCTTACCAATTGAACAGCGGACTTTCAGTTGGGCAGTAATTTGCCTCAGAGTCAAGTCATCGTGAGGACAACCACCTCACATGATCTACCTTACTGTTTCTGTATTCCTAAAACTCTCTTACCTCCTGTCTCCTGCTAGATTTAGGCCAACTTACTTTGGCTTGTCTTTTGGTATCCACGCTTCAGTAGTTCTTGTCTACTTGCGTCCAAGTCACTGTTTCTGGTGTCTGACAGTAACTCTGCTGTGCCATCGCCTTCTACTTTTGCCTGTTTCTTATTTTATGTTGGTGGTACTCCTAATTCCTTAATTACGTACCTTGGTGTTACTGTGCCTAACACAGACACCTAAAGTTGCTATATTTCTAGGTTCCATTATCACCTTTCCGATAACCCCAAATCATTACCTACTAAATGCAGCCCTAGAATAGCTTCAACTTCCTGGGGACCCTTAAATCAGAGATTAAATGAGGACATGCCATCTCTGTCAGCTGCTAGATTCAACACAGCACTAGGAACCACCTGATTGTCTGAGGCCTCACTGAAAATACGAAGCACAGGACTCACCTTAAGGAATTGACAGGGCTTATGAGATACCTTACAAGGATCAAAAACTACACAATGAGTGCCTGTATGTACAGCACTATCTATAATCATAAAGAGCTAGTTACACCCAGATATTCATTCCACAGAAAGTTACTCTTTTACTTGAGAATACTGCCTTCTTTAACACTTCAGATGGCTTTAGGTAGGACAAACACGGATTGATCAGGGAGAAGTCATAACCATAATAAGTCAGGTCAGTCCCCCTTGAAGGTCAACACGGTGACAGCCAACACAACTGGACTGCCTCAATATCCAGGAAAACTAACTGGACAGCCAGGGCCAAATTATGACTCTGGTTTCACTGGGACCATATTCAAATTGAAGCAAACTAGTCATGGGAGATGGAAGTGGGAGTCACATACCAATGCAAGTTGGATCACTCAGCTGAACCAGCACATGAGGGAAACCACGTTTCATTCAACACTAGTGTTGTAGGAAAAAAGAAGGGAAAGAATAAAAACCTACTTTGTTTTTTAAGTTCTTCGATTTGCTCTTCCTTTAAATCTAACTGTTCTGTAAGTCTTGATGCTGAATCCAATGCAGCATTTGCTTCATCCAAACTCTCCTGAGGAAGGAAAGCTCATTAAAAAGTGGCATACAAAAATTATTTCATAAACTCTAGGGCTGGAAGACATCTTAGGGTCAATCAACTCTTTTCTTTTCTGCTGAAGAAGCTGTACTTCTGTGACCTTGGCAAGTTCACAAAACTAACAAGTATCAAAGAGAGAACCCACACTTCACAACAGAAAACTGTCTTTTTTAGAGGAACTACATGAAAAAAACGATGCTACTAAAAGACAGCATGGTGACAAAAGTAAAAAAAGTGAGAATAAAAACTACAAACAGCAGAGATAGAAAGCCAAAATATAGGAACAAATGTTCTTCCTAATTTTTGTAAGTCTGATGGGTATATAAAGTTACGTTTCATTATTAGTTTTTTATTTCCCTAACTACTAGTGAGTTTGAGCATTTGTTCATGTTTACAGGGCAGCTGGATCTTCTCTTCTGTGAAAACCTCTCTTTGCATATCTTGCCCGTTTTCCTATTGAGCTTTCTCTTGTCAGTTTGTAAGAGCACCTTATATAGTAGACATAAACCCTTTGTCAGCTACAAATATTATTTGCCAGATCTGCCATTTGTCTATTGCCTGTAAAATATCTCTTGCCACGTAAAAGTGTTTAAATTGTATATAATCAAACACGTCCTACTTTGCTTTTTATAGCTTCTTGAGTTTTAGACTTAGTTAGGCTCCTCCTTGCCACTAGACTATTCACGTGGTCTTCTACATTTTCTCACAAGATATTTTTTTTTTTAATATTCACATCTTTAAAATACTGTTTCTCCATGGAAGTGCTTCTGGCATTTTGGCCCCTGCCCACTAAATGCCGGAAGACCCATCCAGTCACTGTAACCACCAGAAACAGTCCCAGATTTCCAACACCACCCCCGGTTGAGAATCCTTGCTTCAATACAACTGAAATTCACTTTTATATATGGTGTAAGATATGGGTCCAGTTTTACTTTTTTCCATACAGAGAGCCAGTGGTGCCAACATAACTTATTAGATAATCTATCGTTGTTCCCATTAAATGAAATTTGTTTAATTTAGGATTTAGTTTTAAATTCTGAAATATATCATGGGCTCTATTTCTGGATTCTCCTTCTGTTCCACTCATCTAGTCAACATGGTGCTGATTTATGGCTCTATTTTGATATTTAGTAGGCAAGTCCCTCCTCACTGTTGTTCTTTCACACAATTTTCTTGGCTGTTCTAGAGTATTCACCCACGGAAATTTTAGGTCAAGTTTTAACATCTTGAATCAGAGTGTGACAGCTTTTCGGATGTACCATCTTAGGCTCTACTTCACAGTTATTCAATCAAACATAATCTAGACGTTGCTGTGAATATTCTGCAAATGTGATCAAAGCCCATGATGAGTTGAATTTAAGGAAGTCACATTATCCTGGATAATCACGGTGGGCCTGACTGAACCAGTTCAAAATCCTGAAAGCAAGGCTGAGGCTGCTCCAAATAGAGAAGAAATTCCTTCTCTGGACAGCAACTTTGGCCCCTGCCCATGAGTTCCAGCCTGCTTGTGATTTTCCTTCCTGACCCCCCGTGGACAACAGCTTTGGCCTACGCCCGTGAATTCCAGTCTGCCTGTGATGTGATCTTCCCATTTTGACGGCCAGCCCTATGAATTTCAGACTTGCTTAGCCAGCCCCCACAATCATGTTGCCAGTCCCTTGTAATGAATCTCATAGGTATCCATATATATCATATCTATCAATGTGGGTGTTGGGGGGTGTGTGTGTGTGTGTGTGTGAAGAACCTACTAGTTCGGCTTCTCAAGTTGAACCCTGACTGATACAGAGAAGTAGTGAAACAAAAAATTTTAAATAAAAAATTTAATATTCAAAATCCACAAAACTAAATTTACTGTAAAGGAAATTAAATAAACTTTCAAACGATTTTTTTTTTTTTTTGCTGAGGAAAATTTGCCCTGAGCTAACATCTGCTGCCAGTCTTCCTCTTTTTTCGCTTGAGGAAGTTTAGCCCTGAGCTATCACCTGTGCCAGTCTTTCTCTATTTTATAAGTGGGATGCTGCCACAGCATGACTGATGAGTGGTGTAGGTTCGTGCCTGGGATCCAAACCTGTGAACCTGGGCCACCGAAGTGGAGCATGCAGAACTTAACCACTATACCACAGGGATGGCCCCTCAAATGATTTTTTTAACCTCACAGCATTTATATTTAAGAGATCATTAACGCTTAAAACTACACTAAGACTTTTTTGAAAATTAACATTTAGATTTCATTATTCTTTCTACTATTTGTTTTTTATTTTATTAACTTCAGCCTTTATCTTTACTAATTCTCTCAGTTTCTTCTCATTTAGTTTGTTCTTTTTCTAAATATGCTACATTTTTACTAAAAAAAAAAAAATAAAGTTACTTTTAAAAGAAGACCTGGACTTTTACCAGTATAAGAGACTAGATACTCTGGTCCCATTGGAAACACTGAAAGTGTTGGATAAAATGTCTTTTGAAATGTTATTAGTGAGCTGACCAGAAAGCAAGCACAAATGGTCAATAAACATACTGCAAGGTGCTTGATCTCATTAGTAGTCAGAGAAATGCAAATTAAAACCATAAGTAGATAGCCCTTCCCACTTACCACATTGACAAAACCTTTAAAAGTTCTGATAATGCCAGTGTTGCCAAGGACGTAGAACAAGAACTCTTAGGCACCACTGGTAAGAGTGAATTAGCACAACTGCTTTAGAAAACAATCTGCCATCATCTAATACAGTTTAAAGTACCCATCTATATCCCATCACTTCGCAATTCTAATTAACACATACCCGAAAGAAACTCTTACACACGTGCACCAGGAGACATAAACAAGGAGGTTCACAACCACATTTTTTGTACAGCAGATAATGGAAACGTCCATTATCAGTAAAATGAGGAAATAAATTATATATTCATGCAATGAATACAGCAGTGAAAATAATGAACTTTCTATACACAGTGACACACAGCAACATGGCTGAAACTCATAAAGATAAGAATATTCAGCAAAAAAAGCAAGTCTCAGAGAATTACTCAATTTACATACAGTTCAAAATTCCATTCATAGAGAGTTTAAAACTATGCGAAACCAAAGAATGTATTGTTGGGAGATGTAAATCTATGTAACAAAACCATACAGGAAAATAAGGGGATGACCAACATAAAATTCTGGAATAGTGGTTATCTGTGAGGTAGTAAGGAGAGCCAGAGGTGCAGAAGGGTGCAGAAGGAACTTCAAAGGACGACATATTATTTCTCATACTGGGTGGGGAATACGTGGGTATTCTTATATTTATATGTATTGTCTAAATATTATTTTGCAGCCACTCAATATTTAATAAAAATTTCAAGCTTTAAAGGAAATATGCCTTCACTTATTTGGAATAGTAACACTCCTGAATAGCATATTCACCACTAATGACAAGTAAATAAATTTTATTATTTTCCACGAGCTATTGCCAGTCTACTTACAACTTAGAAAAGTTTATCCTAAATCTAAAAGCAAGTCACTTTGGTGTCATATCTCTTCACGGGGGTTCGTTTTATTTACATCTTTTACATAATTTTTGTAGGTATGAAATATAGCATAGTAATAAAAAGAAAAATATTTTAAAGGATTACACCACCAAAGAGAAAGACTTAACGGGATAATATACATTGAAATGTGAAATAAAGTGCCCAATATACTTTGTTGAAAAGACAAAATTGTAAAGTTAAAATTGTAGGTTAATTTTTTTTTTCAGCGATCTCTAAAATACCCATCTGTGCTAAAAAATTTACATGTCCCCCATCTCACATGTGCTTGTCTACTCTCAACTCTACGTCGCTGAGGGAAATCCTGAGCATCTCGTCCTGCCCCAGCAGAGGGTACAGAGCAGCCACTCAAACAATATCTAACAAATTAATTGTTCAGGAGATTATTTCCAAGACAAAGATTCTACAAGTAATTGTTTCATGAATAATAAAATTTATAAGAGAAAATTATTTCGACCAACCTGTAATGAAACTAATTTTCCTTCCAGATTTTCTGCCTTTTTCTTCCATTCAGCTACAAGTTGTTTGTGCTTTTCTAGCTCGGCAGAATACATAGCTTTTTCCTCTAAAGAGGAAAAGAAAGTTACATCAGTATTTTGCAATTGTGTGATAAAATCAGAACTTTAAACCACCTGAAATTTTAATAATTCAACAAAAATAGTTCAAATGTCTCAACAAGAAAATTATATAGGCCGTAGTGATCACGGTAACTGCAGTGAAAGTAATGAGGTCAGCTTCGCCTGCCTAAAGCCTTCTCCATCTCCTCCAGCTTGCAAACTCTGCCCTCCCTTCAGAACTCCACTCGCATATTTCCTCTTTGGCAAAGCTTTCTCTATGGCCTCGCACCATACTACCTTGAGCACATGTCCAGAAAGTATTTCTCTGTCTCCAGAAAAGTATTTCCACCAGGACTAGAAAATGTAGTTACCTCAAAGTAGAGATGAACAATTATGAACAATTAACCAACATTTCAAAGGATAGCAATTACTGATGAGTAACTCTTTCAAGTGGCTTGAACCTCTAACCAATCTCAAAACATGACCACCTTTGCTACGCGTGCGCCCCCTCTCCTTTGCATCCTCTCTTCACCACGTGATCACCCAGCCTACGTCACCCTTAAACTTTCCCAGCTCTCACCTCAACTGGTTATGCTATAACAGGAAAACAAAGTTTTGATGACTACTGTACACAGTTTATGTTCCCTAGTCTTAAGTATTAAAGGAGTCTAAATTAACTAAATTAACTTATTGATGCTGCCTAACCTTTCCCCATACAAGTGAGTAACCTTTCAAAGGTTTCCCCAGGCCTAATCTAAAATAGCACTCAAATAAGCCAAAATTCCCAATAACAAAGCAATTTTTCTCCACTGCGAGACTGCCCACCCCACTTACCTTGTTGGAAATGCTCTAGGACCATCTGCAGGTTGGAGAGTGAGAGCGCATACTGCTTTACCTGTTCCCGGGAGACCGAGAGCTGCCCGGCAGCCTCATCCCTTTGCTTGGAGACTGTATTCAACTGCTCCTGCAATGACTCTACCTGCAAACTGGCCTGATGGCTTCAGACAAAGAGAATACAAGTCAAACCGTTTCTATTTAGAGACTTCAACAAGATGGAATGCTGTCCCTACATTTCATTGCATTAAATGCAAGTGAGGTTTCAAAGTATTTAAGCACTTTAACAAGATGAAACCTCTTCCCTATGTTTTACCATTTTAATCATTGCTAAGTGTTCAGTTCAGTCGCATGAAGTACATTCACACTGTTTACTACCATCGCTGCCATCCCTCTCCAGAACTTTTCTAGTCTTCCCAAGCTGAACCCCACACCCATTAAACAGTAACTCCCCCTTCCCCCAGCAACCTCCATTCTACTCTCTGTCTCTAGGAATTTGACCTTCCCCACATCTTAGTGCATTAAATTCAAGTTAGATTTCAAAGAACCTTGAAGAGTTCCTCTGATCTTTGTTCTCCTTGTTTTTTGTAACTCAATCATCCTTCCTGTGAAAGTGACTGAACAAATAGCAGTCACTGCAATGACAAAACTGGGCTAAAAAAGAAACATCAGCATAAGAAAAACTTACAAATAGCCTGGAACTTTCGTGTTTCCAGACTAAACCTCTAAGATGTACTTTATCATAAAATTGCAAGTTGTAAGGGACCTTGGAAGTCATTTTGTCTAGCTTCCAACCCAACAAGCAACGGACTCTACGACACCTCCGTGCTTTTGACACTTGAAATCATGGTGAACTCACAACTTCGAAAGGCTATCCCACTGATTAACTGCTCTGATTACTAGTTAATTATCTTTTACTATCATCCTTTTTTCCTGCTTACATTAACTATTATAACCGCTACACCTACTCCAAATAATAAATCAGAGATCCCTCAGGGATTTATATAGCGCCTATGCAGGCTTATGTCACTGATGCACTTCCTTAATGTATACTGATTACACACAAAATACTGCAATAGCCTTTGCTGGGATTTTAATGTCCAGTTAAATTGTTACTCAAAAGCAACCCATTAAAGCCCATTAAGAGCAACTTACTTTGAAGAAACTTTACCCAACAGCACCCTCTTGTGGAAAGAGCAGTAAACTGATAATCAGGAGACAGCTCTGCCCTCAAATGTCCCTGGACTTGATTCAACTTTGCTGGTTAGCAAATCACTCAAAGGGTGATTGTAAGGATGAAATCAGCTGTGACGTCACTCAAAAAGTTAATAAATACCAGGTGTTACTATTGTTAAGCAAGGGCTCAAAACACCATAATCTGGTTTGTAGATTAGAGTTACTAATACAACAAATATTTACTGAACATCTATTAAACTATGTTTAAGAACATATGATGTGGTAAGGGTACAAAATAAATGGCATCATCCCATCCTCAGTAACCTTACACTTCACTAGGCGGGAGGAAGTGTAAGACAGTTCAACAATTATCTGTACCCTAAAGTAAAATATAAGCGCCCTATCAAAGACTAAAATGAAGTACTGTGCAGATTCAAAGGAAAAGTCTCACACCAGGGTTTGGTTTTGGATTTGAGGAATGGAATGCTAAAAAAAGCATTCTTTATGAAGGAAATGCTATTTGAAGGTGAGATTAATAGAAAAACTGTTAGGGATCAGGTCTACTCCTTTTTTTTCCTCCCTGTGGAAGATTTGCCCTGAGCTACTATCTGTTGCCAATCTTCCTCTTTTTGCTGAGGAAGTTTCACCCTAAGCTAACATCTGTGTCAATCTTCCCCTATTTTGTATGAGGACTGATGCCCCAGCATGGCCACCAACAAGTGGTGTAGGTCCACACCTGGGGACCGAACCCTGGCCAACAAAGTGGAGTGTGCCACCATGGCTGGACCCAGGTCTACTCTTCAGGTAGAAGAAAGAATATGAAATGAAGAAGTAGAAGAAAAAGAAATAGGAAAATAGTAGCTCTATCTGAAGAACCGAGTAACACAGTTTGGCTGGATGTAGACGCTAGGGAGAAATAAGATTAAGGTGGTAGATAGCCAGGGACCAAATCACGAGAGTCTACCCTGGTTTTGAAAAAAGAAGTAACCAGATCACAGCTCTACTTAACAATGGTTATTCTGGCAATTATGAAGGGTAAGTGAAAGGGGGCAGAGACTGGAAACAATTTTAATCAAGGAAAATAAAGACCTGAAAATTGAAAGGAAAGATTATCAATTTTATAGGCTGAGGATGTTTTGGCATTTCTGCCAGTGTGAAACACATACACAAATGCTCACTCACTGCTTTAATTCTCATTTTAAACAAGTTTCCTTCTGCGTCTGAAGGCACAATAATACACCCTACAAAAGGAGAGGAGGAGCTACCCTCAGAAGTGTTGTCTCGGGGCTGGCCCCATGGCCAAGTGGTTAAGTTCACGCACTCTGCTTCAGTGGCCCAGGGTTTCACCGGTTCAAATCCTGGGTGCAGACATGGCACTGCTCATCAGGGCCATGCTGAGGCGGCATCCCACATGCCACAACTAGAAGGACCCACAACTAAAAATATACAACTATGTACTGGGGGGATTTGGGGAGAAAAAGGAAAAATAAAATCTTAAAAAAAAAAAAGTGTTGTCTCCACTGGCCTATAACTTCTTTGCAAACAGAAATAATATCTTCTTTTATCTCTCTCAGCATCATACATTATAAAAAGATAAAAAGATAAACATATCACTAATGGAAATATAAATGGATATGATTTCTTTGGAAGATTATTTGGCAGTACATTTAAAAAGTTTTAGAAATGGCCTTTGAATTAGAACTTCCATTTCTCAAACTTTAAGCTAAGGAAATAATCAGTCATCAACACAAAAAATACCTATCTTGGGATATCATGACAGCACTCTTAGTATTTTGAAAAGCTGAACTACTCTAAATGTCCAATAATAAATGACTGAATTAAAGAAATTATGGCAAATCCAAATAATGGATACTATGTAGGCATAAAATGATACTGCAGAAACACATGGCTTAATGTGTTCTGGAAACCCCCCCCCCCCTTTTATTTTTGGTGAGGAAGATTGGCCCTAAGTTAACATCTGTTGCCAATCTTCCTCTTTTTGCTTGAGGAAGATTGTTTCTGAGCTAACATCTGTGCCAATCTTCCTGTATTTTGTATGTGGGATGCCACCACAGCATGGCTTGATGAGCAGTGTGCAGATCTGCACCCGGGATCTGAACCTGCGAACCCCAGGGCTGCTGAAGTGAGCCCACGAACTTAACTACTATGCCACTGGGCCAGCCCCAAGAAAACTCATATTATTAAGTGATAGAAGCAGGTTACAAAATAGTATGAATAGTATGATCTCAATTGTGCTTTAAAAAATATATATAATATATACACAGGTGTGTACAAGCATACAAGGTACAACAAAAGACTATCTCTGCGTGGGTAAGACTGTGGCTTTATGTTCTTTTTGGTTTATGTGATTTTCGTGAAATGGAAAATGTTTTTGTAAAAAGAACAAAAACCCATTTTATTGAGAGAAATAAAATGTAAAGATACATAAGAAGGGACCTGGTCACTTCAAAGTTCAAATAAACCAAGAGTGAACTCACACTGACCTAGGTCTCCACCGTGCCGCCTCCTTTACTCTCTCCCTTTTACTATCCAGACCTTGTTCAGCCTTAGCGCATTTGATTCAAAATAAAATCATGCAAATTAAATTAGTTCTTTGGGAGCCTGACGAAGCTAAGTAAACCAGTGAGAATTTAAGTCTAAACTCCTAAAATGATGAGAAGCAATTATCTAGGGTAATGGTTAAGATGCAGAAGAACCTCGGTTTGCATACCAGATCTGGTTAAGAGTGGCAGACCCGACTGTGAAACACACACACACACACACACACACACACACACTGTGTGCCTAGCTCGTGAAGGTTACTAAACCTCTTTACGCTCAGCTTCTTAGTGTGTAAAATGGAGACAACGAATTCTGTGTGAATAAAACGAGGGAACATGAAAAATGCTTGAGTCTGCCACTTAAGAAGCGTTCAGTTAATGTTAATGCTAAAAAAATGAAAGAGTTACCTTGCACTTTCCATTGCATTAGAGGATGAAACTAGCTTTTCCTCCAACTGTGTGACTCTCTTTCTTAGTTTGGCCTCTCTATCTTCTGCAGCCAAAGCTTCACGGGTATAAGAATCTTCTGACTCTAAGAGATGGTTACGCAATCTTTCCAGCTCCTGGTTTAACCGTAGTTCTTTCTCCCGTAAATGCTGAACCTAGGCAGAGGATACTTCTTTATTTTTCTTTTGTAAAATGCTCCCTTCTCCCTGCCTACAAGCCACTTTGTTATCAAATCTCTTTCCCGTTACTGAATTGTATTAATTGTGTACTAATTCCTCACACTGCAAGATCTATTTATTCTAGGAAAAAAGTCTCCTGAAACCTTGACTGCTCGTTTGCAAGGTTTACTTTGTAAGATCTCATTCCTTGTGGCTATAACGGAAAAAGGAATTATACAAAGTACTAGGCTTTTTGTGACATCAAATGAGTAAATCTCATTTTTTTTCATAATTCATGGGTGGGAAATTTTTCCTATATTCAAGACATGCCATGGTTTTCACTTTTCTCTTTCTTTTCTTAAAAAATTGAGGTATAATTTAGTTTCAGGTATCCAACATAATGATTAGATCAAGGTTTTCACTTTTGAAAACAAAATGCACTCTGGGAGATCAAAATTCTATGACAGCACATCAGAGGAAGATGAAGGAAAAAACCACCTAAGAGAGAAATTCATTCTAACTGATAATCTTTACAGTTTTCTTAGTTAACGGTTATTGAACCTAGCGTGTGAGTCACTGTTTCCTCAGCGGGAAAGCGTACCTCCTTCTGCACAGCGGTGTTCTCCATCTGCTTCTGCTTCAGGGCCAAGAGGACTTGGTCTCTCTCCTGCTGGAACATAACTGTCTTCTCCTGCATTGACTTAACTGCATTTAAAAGTTGATTTAACTCACCAGTCTTGCCCTTTTGGAAAGAAATAACTTTAGCTTTAAAGAAAAATATACTTAAAAAAAGACATTTCTTCATTTCATTTCTTCATATTAAATATAATATATACTATATATATATATTTTAAGGAAATTCAAATAGAGTGTGAACTTTAGTTAATAATAACGTATCAACATTAGTTTATCAGTTGTTACAAATGTACCACGGTAAAGTAAGATTTAAAAATAAAGGAAACTGGGTGTGAGGTATATGGGAACTCTCTGCTATCTTTATAACTTTTCTAATAATCTAAAACTATTCCTAAAGAAAAAGTTTATTAGAAATGTTTTTAAAAGAACTCAAAAGACACAATCTCTTCAGATTTACCCTACACAACAAACACTCCCAAATCACCGAGAAAATTTTGAGTGTGTACATGTGTGCGTGTGCGTGTGCGTGTCCATTCATCAGCATATGGAATAGTTGTCAGATCAAATTGCTGGCAGAGGAAAGAAAGGGAAGTCAATTCATATGCACAGCCCATTTTAAAAGGACATTTTGGCAACAATTTAACGAAAGCAACTCTGGAATGATATCTTGCTAGACAGCTGTGAAAACTGATTCCTGAATGCATTCCATATAATATATTAACGACAACAGAACAAAGATAACTCTTCATCGCAAAAGTAGGGCCATAAATGTAAGACAATAGCTGGAATTCTAAAAAGCACAAAAAAGCGTCAGGCTGTCTACAGCCAATTCTTTTCTCTGTTTAAATATGTATATCATATGAAGCTACAGTTTGGTATTATTTTAAATTTTCATGTAAATGTTCCATTTCTTTAAGAATATATACGGTGTCCCCCCAGGACAAATCATCAAAACCAAAACATGAAACCACTTGTTCCTTTTATCTCAATACCCCCTCCTGAATAGCGAGGGCATTATTTGCCAAACAGGTTTTTCAGTTAAAAAATTTTTCATATTACAGAGAAAGAACCCTTGAAAATTAAAGCTCTCCTCTTGAGAACATCCCTTTCTTCCTAAAAAAAGATGCTATTTATTACATTCAAAATATAATAAAGGTACCCTTCAACTATAGAGTGTACTGGAAGAAATTAATTCGTTTATGCTAATTACCCTCAAATACAATACCTCAGTATGACTTAACTTACAGAAGCTTCCTGAAAGACAGACGAGCCTTCAGTAAGCCTGCACACTCTACACCCAGAAATGTCGATGAGACAGAACTACACTGCGTAAGACGCTAAAACTACAAAAGGAAAGACTATATGAAAAGGAATACTTCATTGTTCTACGTTCCTCTATTACACTCTTTCAGCCCAAAGACGCTGCAGCCAATTTTGGTCAGCATGCAACAGAAAGCTCCTGCCCTCCAAGAGTCCTTGGCACACTCACTGCAGACTGGTCAAACACGAGGCTCAGAAGCCACACCTGAAAGGAGGCGGACACCTCAACACCATCAGCGGACCTACTTCATCAGATGGAAAGAAGGTGAAAATGAGGCATGACTTTTCCTATCAAGTGAAAACTATATCAACCATTCCCAAACTTTAATCTAAGACTCTCAGAAAACATAATTAGCAAAAGAAGTTATATCATCTTGTATGAGGTGCCTGGCAGCATGTAAATGCTCAAGAAGCACTTACTGAATATTCCACTGTTCTGCCTTATTCCTTTTCTAAATTTCTACCACGAAAAGTACAGAAATAGAGTAAAAAGGTGCTACCAAAAAAGCGCTACACAGCAACTATCATCATATGATGTACTAGGAGGTCTTCAGTACATTCTCACTAAAATCTACAATCAACTGCACGCAAAAATTTCAATATCTCAAAGAAAACAGTTTAGTGGTTACCAGGGGAAGCAGGGTGGAGGGTGGGCACAGGGGGTGAAGGGGAGCACTTATGTGGTGACAGACAAGAAATAACGTACAACTGAAATTTCGCAATGATGTAAATTATTATGAATCTCAATTAAAAAATAAATAATAGCCACAAAAAAAAAAAAATTTCAATATCTCAAGAACGACAGGCCAGCCCATGGCCTAGTGGTTAAGTTTGGTGTGCTCTGCTTTGGCAGCCTGGGTTCAGCTCCCAGGCAGGACCTACGCCACTCATCGGTGGCCATGCTATGGTGGCATCCCACATACAAAAACAGGAAGATTGGCAACAGATGTTAGTCCAGGGGGACTCTTCCTCGGCAAAAAACAAAACAAAACTACTGACACTTTAAATATAACTGCTATAACCCTCCATTTTATGGCTGAATAAACAAACCAGTAAGATCAAAACACACTGAAAGTTCACACCAGTGACAGAAGTGGGGTTAGAATATTTACTGAGCCTACCCTGTGAAAAGCACTACTCACGGCTAACACTTTTCAAATACTGGGCTGTGACTGACTGATTCCTAAAAATCACTTTAATGGGTCCTCCAGCACTCTGTTTAATGGAGGATCACATGCAGTAAGAGAATTTTTGCTTCCTGAAACTTCTGTTTCAGTTTTACACACACACACGCGCGCACACAAGTGCTTACTGTGTCACAATGTGAAACGTATTTCTTACCGCAGATCGTCAAAGACGTTAACACACATTTCACACGCTTCCCTTCACATATAAGGATCTCTAAAACACTAATCACCACCACCAGCTACTGAACTAGGCCTAAAATGTGGTTAAACTGGAATAACTTCAGAACTCCCTCTGTACACATATTTTCTAAAGAAAAATACTGCTACTAAACTCTTTTTTCTACTTAATCTAGTAATAATCTAGTACTTAATTAACCTAATAATAAATTAATCTAGTAATCTAGTAATAAAATTAATCTAGTAATAAAAATATTTGGAAATATCAGTAATTTGGAAAATTTATTTAGAACGAATCACAGTATCTTGAAATAAACATTTCTACACAAATTCATATTCCTCTTCAAAGATAACATCAATAAACACACACACTAAAAAAGCTCCTCCACCCCAACTTCCCTCTAGAAAACTCCATGCAGAACATACCTGCTCTTTTTCTTTTAGCAGTTGCTCAAAAGCAAGCGCTTTCTCCTTCATTGAATGGCACTCAAACTCTTTTTCTCGCAGCATCATAGAAAACTTCATATTAGTCTCCTGTAGTGCCTGATACTCTGTTTCCTTTCCCCTGGATGTTTCTACTATTTTTTCGTTTTCCCCTTTTAGTTTGCAAATGTCCATTTCTAAAATTAATGTTCTCTCTTTCAGGTTTGTGACGGCCTGCCTCAACAGTTCATTTTCATTCACCTTATTAGTGAAATTTTCATTTAAAGAAAGTAACTGATCACTTTTGGCTTTGATCAAGAGGTCTTTTTCCTTAAGTGACTTTTGTAAAATATCCTGTTTCTCCTTTAGCTGCTTTATCTCTGAATCGGTTTGTTCATGTTCTTTTCTTCCTAGTTCTGACGTGGCGGCAATGGAATCAGACAATCTGTGATTATTTTCCTGAAGAGTTCTTATGGTTTCATCTTTCTCCCGGAGTGACTTTCTTAGCTCTTCTATCTCTTGTTTAGAAGACTCACTCAATGCGTCAGACTTACTTGTTCTAAGAGACTCTGCTGACTGGGAAGTAAGCAATGGTCCAGAATAGAGCTGAGGTGAAATAATATCAAGTTTTCCTAAGAGAAGATCTTTAGTATTGCAAAGCTGCCCTATGCTGTGCTGGACTTGTGCTAATTCCTGCCCAAAATTCTTGAGTTTGGTTTCATTCTGCTCATAACTCTGGATGAGGCCAGTATAGTCCACTTGTAACTTAGAACTACTGTCGCTGTCAAGCACCACCTGTGCCTGCAGCTGGCGCAGCTCCTCCTGAAGCTGGGCTGACTCACGCTGCATGTTCTGTACCGTGGTCATCACCTGCTGTTTCCACTCTTCCATTTTCTTCACTTGTTGTTTTAATTTATCACGTTCCTGTAGGAGCTCCTCAAACTGATTGCTATTAACACCTCCAACCTCACTACCAGTGGTGGATGTTTGTAAAACTGTCAATAAGGTCTGACATTTCTGACTTAACGCATCTATTTCAATGTCTTTTTCTCGAATGATACGTGATAAATTCTGAATGGTTTCTCTAAACATATCTTGGCCACTACTCTCAAATCTAGTGGACAATTTTTTATTTTCATCCTGCAGCTTAATGAGGGCTGCTTCTTTGGCAGCAACTATGTCTATCATTTTGTGATATTCTGTTTTTAGATGGCTATTTTCCCTAGTCTTCTCACTCAAAACAGCCAGCACTTGTTCTCGTTCCATAGCATAGGCCTGCAGCTGCTGCTGAAGGTAAACTACATCCTGGGTGTAGGCAGCTGAAGACATTCTAGCGTGCAGAGCCTGTATCTCCAAATCTTTCTGCTGGATAATCTGAGTCAGTTTACCAACTTCATCTTTGGAGAGCTGATCAATCTGTTTAGTTAAAGATATATTCTTTTCATTTAGAAGTTTAATCTCCAATTCTCGTTCTTTTATTCCTTTTACTAATTTTTCAGTTTCAGCTTTTGATAAATCATGTTTTTCACTTCCGTTTTCTATATTAAGGCTCTGAACTTTTGTTTCTTGGAAAATATCAGAATTCTCTGTTTGAACGTCCTGTCTTTCTTCATGTAACTGGGTTTTGATTTGTTCAATTGTCTTGTGTAAGTTTTTAATTTCTTCATCTTTCTCTAACAAGAGCTGGGCGTGTGTGACATTCATTTGCTCATGTTGGTATTTAAACTCATCCATTTCCTCCTTCTGCTCCCGTAATGACTGAAGTAGTTGCACCTTGCTCTGGTTCTGATCTTCAATGATCTTTCGATGATGTTTGATTTCCTCTTCCAGACTGTCCTTTATTGTATTCAGCTGCGATACCTCCGACTCTAGCTCTGTGATACTGTCAAGGGTTTTAGGCTCAGCCGTAGGCGCAGCTCGACTCTGCTGTTCTCGGAGTCGTTCCAGTTCTTCCTTGAGATGATTGTTTTCTTCTTTCATGGATCCAAGATTTCTGTCTTTTTCTTCTATGGTTTGTCTTAAAATTTCATTTTTTCTTAAGGCCTGAGTATATTCATCTAATTCTTCCTGAAGCTCTGAATTTCTTTCTTGAAGTTTTTCAATAAAAATTTCCTTCTCATTTATAAGTTGTGTCAATTGCTTCTGCTCTTCTAAACTAGATGACCACATTTTCTTAGTTTCTTTATGATCAGTATCCATGTGCTCAATCTTCTCTTTGAGTTCTGCTATTTCAAAGTCTTTCTCTTGGTTAAGTTTAACTAAACGCTCTTGTTCCAGCTGTAAAGCAGAGGCGCTCAAATTCCGCGCAGCAGACAGTTCTTTGATGGTTTGCTCATACTTGTTTGCATCTTCCAACAGCCTCTTTTCAGCCCGACACAATTCGGCCTCTAACTGTCCTTTTTCCATTTTTAGAGCCTCCACAATAGTGTTTTTTTCCAGAGAAATCTGATTGTTACCAGCAATAGATTCTTCCAACTGATGTCTTACATCTTCACAAGCTAAAACCAGCTTTTCATTTTCCATTTTGAGATCAAAAGCAACTTTTTTAAAATTTTCATTGAGCTGTTCTATTTCTGAGAGATTTTGCTTTAAGCTTCTCACTTCAGCTTCCCTTTCTTGAAGTAAGTCATCCTTACAATTACTGTGAGAGTCCTGATTGTGAGACGGAGTTAACTCATCCCTGACTCTAGAAAGCTCCTCCTCCTTTTGTTTAATATGTTCCTTAAGTTCAAAGTTCTCTTTCTGGATGTTTAAATTATTTTTTTGTGATTTATTTAACTGATCTACTAAATCTTCTACTTTATCCTCAAGTTTCTGGTTGGTTAAATGCAAATCACTTAGGACCAGTTCATTTTGAATTAACTTTTCTTTCTGCACATTGAACTCTTTAGTAATGTTCATTTTATCATCTTCAAGTTGATGAACTCTCTTTATTTCATCATTTAGATCTTTTTTCAGTTTACTGATGATGCTATCTCCCTCAGTTTGTTGTTTTGATAGCTGATCTTTTATCAAAATCATGTGCTGAAAGAAAAATTAATTTGCATGGTAACTTCAGAACGTTCTCTCATTTTTAGTACCTAAAGAAAATTTTATAGAATGTCATACAGAACAGGAGAATAATCTTAGATATTTCTAATCATTCTTAAAACAAAATTTTAATCCCAACAACATTATTTACTAACATCTTACAGCAAATTTATTTAGCATTTTAGAGACTACAATCTTAAACCAAAGAAGGTAATTGATACCTGTTGTTTATTTTCAACTTTTAAACACCGGAGCAGAAGTCAACAAACTACAGCAGACGGGCTAAATCAGGCCTGCCACCCGTTTTTGTAAATAAAGTTTTATTGGAACAGAGCCATGCTTACTTGTTTATGTATCAAAACCGCAGAGTTGAATAGTTGCAACTGAGACTACAGGGCCTGCAAAGCTAAAAATATTTACTATCTAACACTTTACAGAAAAAGTTTGTCAATTTCCATGACTATGGAGCACACTGAACTAAAATATTAATTAAATCACACCAATCACTTTGCCTTGTTAATCCAGTGTTCAGTCTGCCGAGTAGAATGCATTGCCAAGCTGTCTTTATATGGTGTTACCTTTGTAGCTTCTTGGTTCTGTTTGTCCAATTCTTCTAACTCAGCGACCAGTATTTCCTTTTCAGTAATACTCTGATTGAGTTCTTGTTCTTTTGCCTCTAAATTAAGTCTTAAATCACGTAATTCTGAATCCAAATCCATATTTCTTGTAGTTGTACTTTTAATTACTTCATATTCATTGTTCAATTTAGAAAGTGATATTTGAAGTTCTTCCTTAAAAGATAAAAGGGAAAAAAACAACACATATTGTCAACTGGAAGAAGAGACACCAAAAGATGAAAAACATATATATAAACAAAACTTGGGAATCTATTTTTAGATTCTCTGCGTTGGAAATATTATTGAATAATACCCCAGCAATGATACACAAAATTCAACAAACCACAGCCTTCATTCATGTGCAATTTTATTTGCAGCTTCAAGAAAAACATTTCTATAACCCTAGTCAAGATGGAACGATGGTAAATTCATCTTCTGGCTCCAACTTCTTTATACAAAAGCTTTCCCATTTGAGAGCCTTCCCCATCCCACTCCCACTGCTGCTTCCATTCGGTCTCCCCCTTCCCTCCCACTACACTCGTACTATTCAAAATGTCCCAAGTCTTCCGGCTCTCTTCACTTCCATTCCCTAACATCTAGTCACCAGGAGTCACAGACAAAAAGGTAAAGAATTAACACTCATTCACTCTAAAGTTTGTCCTCTCTAATTAGAAAATAAAAGGCTTCTTGTCCCTCATTAAGGAATTACTCTTATTATTGGCTTCCATCAGAACACGAAAGCTTTTCTTGACCCAAAAAAGTACTCTCCTTCTGGGGCCAGCCCGATGGCACAACGGTTAAGTGCACACATTCTGCTTCAGCGGCCCTGGGTTCACCAGTTCGGATCCCGGGTGCGGACATGGCACCGCTTGGCAAGCCATGCTGTGGTAGGTGTCCCACATATAAAGTAGAGGAAGATGAGCACGGATGTTAGCTCAGGGCCAGTCTTCCTCAGCAAAAAGAGGAGGATTGGTGGCAGATATTAGCTCAGACCTAATCTTCCTCAAAAAAAAAAAAAAAGCACCCTCCTTCCATCCTTTACCTTCTAACCTGAGCCTAGACTAGGTTCACCTCTCTCAAAACTAACGTTCCTAAAGATCTATCTAAAATATGATTTTTAAAATATATTTTATGTTCTGGTCTATTGGTACTTAATGCTTTTCCTCCAAAACCCCAGAAGTGGGGCAGTTCTCTATGCTTCAACATTATTTCAAATTCTGATTGTTTGTGATAAACTCCCAACCGCTGTAAAGCCTTCTTTCATTGACAGAGATTTTTAAAAATCAAACTTCTATGGAATCTACTTTATTAAAGTAAATAAGAATATAAAATTTCTACAAATAGTCTAATATATACTGTACAAAAGAGACCAATGAACACTATATTGGAACATCTGCCTCAGATTCGCATTCTTCTTCCAACTCAAGATTACTCTGAACTACAATTACAAGATGGAAATAGCATTCTCTTCTGGGTTTCTCAAGTTATCTGTTGAATTAGGAGAACCACAAGCATTTTTATCAGGATCTTAAGAACACACACAACCTTCCAGATCCTTTTGGCATTCTTAAGCAACACGCAGATCCACAGCAGACACAACTCAAGGAAGAGTTACGATGGATTACTTTAACACCAAAAGAAAAGAGAAACAGCTATGGGGAAGAGCTACAGAACCCACAATATCATGAGAAGGTACAGATCCTATCAGATATGTGCAGAGATCTACAAACTACAAAGTATACCTAGGCCAGTTAGAGAGGAACAAGCAAAGGAGAAGAACACACTGGGAGCAGAGAAGAACAGAGAAAAATATATAATATAGTGATACAAAAATGACTGAGAGACACGATTGGCTTTCAGTGGGTAGAAAGAGTGAGGGCAAGGATCCTACAATGCACAGGACAGTGTACACAACTAAGAATTTTCCCACCTAAATGCCAATCGCAACCCTTTAAGAAACATTGCTTATAAACTAATGTGGAAGGACGCTGAAAATATAACACGCAGGTATGTATACTACGCTAACATTTGTACTTTTTAAGAAGCTACTTACATAATAATCATACATGGATAAATATAGTCTGGAAGGATATATAAGAAACTGGTAAGAAAGACTGCCTCTGGGAAAGAGGCCAATCAACAGAGGTGTGAAGGACACTCCACTTGTACTGTCTGAAATTTTTCAGCATGTATTACTGGATGTACACACCAGTATATGTTACTTTTAAAAACTGAAGATTTTAAAGTAAGTTGAGATACTGGCCTGTAACTTCATAAGACCAGCTTACAACTATCCTATATTTAAGCACCTGCCTCAGCCAATGAATTACTCCCAAGTGGTACAAACATAAAAATACCTCTCCCCATATTCAACATTGCATTACAGAATCTTACTCCATCCTTGCTATCAAGATACACAAAACAGACCCTACTTCTACCGCTAAGAATGTCCCTATTTTACCTCTCACCACTAAGAAATTCCTATCCACCACATTAGACACATTCTGGAGCATATAACAGTACGTACAATTACTATAGTTTGCCACTCCAAACTTGTGAGCCACCTGTGTATGTTGCTACTGTCAGGACTTCATCTGAAACCATAACAGCCTTTACCATCTTTTCTGCTCGTATCTGTGGGCCTACCGGCTTATCTCTGAATATAAGCTCTGGTCAGCCTCTCACACTATGAACCTTGCCCAAGTACTCCAACCTGGCCTAACAAGCATCAATGAGATCACCTTTATCTTCAGGACTCTCAAGAACTAAACACTCCATTTTGATATAAACTGGCCCTTAGCCGTGATCTACAACATATACACCATTTTAATTCTTCCCCCATTTTTATTGCACCCACCTTTTCTTGACTCAATAATGAATTCTCTTTTTCTAAAACTTGGACATGCATTTTAAGTTTCTGATTGTCTTCAGTGAGACTGTTATCCTATAAAAATGTTAAAACAGTGTTTTCAGATAATAAGAAATTTCAAGTTTACAAAAAAGCAAGCAAGCTACACAACTGTGCATTTTCTTTAGTGATACATAAAATTTATAAGCATGCAACACTGACCCATCTAAAGGCAGTCACTCATTTTATAGACATTCTTATAGAGGATTTATTACATTTGAAAAAATATGTAAATACACTTATAAAATATCCTGTAGTCATCAGAAATAGAAACTACTCTCTGAATTCCTTAAGGGCAATCAAAATGCATCCCTCACTTCGGTAGCAGATCTGCTTCCACTGTCTCTGCATACATTTGTCAAATTAATTTTCAAAGAATTATACCTGCATTTTTCAATTATCCAACTTTTCAAATTATGTCATTTTATGATGCAAAAAGTTTCTATTATTAATCAGCAAACACACAATTACTAAGATGAAAGTTCCTAGGATAAGTTCAAGTGAATTTGTAAAAAACATAAAATAAGCAACTATAATAATCAAAATACTTTTTCTTGGTAAACCAATGCCAAAAGCTTTCTCTCTTAAAATGAGTTTACCTGGTTTAAATTACTTAGTCTCATTATTTCATTTTCAGCATCTGTAAAAACAACAATAAATGTGACATTAAAATTCTTTAAAGTAACTTAATAATTACCTTCTATATTAAACTCAGAAATGAAACCCAATTAAAATAAAGTGTATTCATAAGCACAAGTGGCAAGTCCTAACAGTTTTCAGTGAAATGTATTTTTGTTATTTTATATTTCTATTTTGAGTATACCAAAGAAATCAAAATATAAATGCCAGTTGGAAACTATGTTAAAATCCAATTCTATGGCATAGCATAAGAAAGAATTATAATTGCATTCTAGATGAGTCGTAAGTTATTGCCTTAATAAAAACATTAACAACATGTTTCAAAATGAGTTGTTTAGTTCATGAAGCAGGAAACAGTCAAAGGACTGAGATTGGGGGAAAAAACTTAAAAACAAGAATGTACATTTACACCACAACACTACAATAACCTCTCAATTATCTAAAGTGAGTTAAACACGACTACTGGTAAAAAGGCAGTTAAATCTGGTATTATGGATAGACTCAGAAATACAAGTGGTTCTAGAAGAACACAAAGACAGAATACCATGAATTCAGCTGAAGGAAGTAATTCACTGTTCATTCAGGTAATATTAAGCATTTACTATGAGGTCAGTTGCTAGACAATAAGATGGAAAAACTTAGTCCTTGCTTGCTCTCAAGGAGCTCACAATTCAGAGAAGACAAACTAGTAAACACAGGACTACAGTCCAGTGCAATACAGGGAGCACAAGGTGCTGCTAAAGCAAAAAGGGCCAACACCTAATGCAGACTGGGTGGGGGGCAATGGGGCGAGGGAAGCCGCAGCACTGGGTACCGCCCAGTGGATACAACACCTGCACTGAATCTTAATACATTAAGTTAGCAGAAAGAAACACAGAGACACTCCACACAGAGAAAGCAGCCAGTACTAAGGCGACAGAGCTGAGACAACACTGATGACCTAAGGAGCTACAGAGAAAGTTCAATATGGCTAAAGCTTAGGTTAGGAGAAAGGGAAGAGCTGAAACTAAAGAAGTAGGCAGGGACCAGATCATGAAAGACAGTGTATGTCCAACTAGGAGGTGCAGACTTTATGCTGAAGCTCACAGGGAGCTGCTACAAAGTATTAAAAACAGGGGAGTAACCTGCTTTGCATTTCTGAAAAGTCATTCTAGCTGCAGAAAGAAAAAAAAATAGATTGAAGGAGGAATCATGGACACCAGGGGTAACAACAGCTAATGCTTTTATAATGCTCACAATGGGCTAGACATTGCTCTAAAGAGAACTTTGCGGCTAGTAACTCATAAAATCCTCATTACTACTACTACAACTCTGAAGAAGATGGCATTATTATCCCAACCATATAGATGAAAAGACCAAAGCACAGAGATGTTCACTAACTTGCCCAAGGTCAGCTGGTTAGCCATGAAGCTAGATTCTAACCCAGTCATGGTCTTAACCACCATGCTATTCTGCTCCATTAGGACACTGCTATAGTTAACAGGCAAAAGGAAACTCTGATTGGCTGAAGTTACTCAGCGGCAGTGGAGATGGAAGATGGAAGAAAGGGAAGGACGAGAGCAGGAGGTTTGCTTTCAAAGCAAAGAAACTCGTACAGATCACCCAATACGTTAAATAAAGAAATTTATTTGGAAAAGAGCAGAACTACTTTGATTGAAGTCCAATGAGAAAGAAGTCCAGAAGCCCACTGCACAGCATTCCCTTTGCCTTCATAGCAGCTTCCAGGACTGATGCACCTGCGAGAAACACCTAGAGCTCCTCTGGGGTACAATCCTGAAATATCACCAAATCAGAGAGAAGCTAAGGACATGGAATCTACAGGGATTCAAATTTCCTGTTTTGGGAGACTGGGAAACGCCACCAATCACCAAGGTAGGGAAAAGAGGAGGGGGAGGCGGCCACAGTGACATGACTTTGACCCTAACTTTAATTTGAATTTATAGAGTTGACCATTCAGGTCAGGAGCTCATGATAAACAACTAGGTGAGGAATACAGATGTGGGGGAGTCACCAGTACACAAGGACTAGAAACTTTCAAAGCAGGAATGAACAAGTTCATAAAGTCAGAGTTTATATAATGAGAATAGAACAAAGTACAAAATAAAATGCATCTTGAAAAGTTTCCATTATGTTTTTCTGGCATGAATGAATAGTGGTGTTTGGCCTATTTCACTTAATACTTATTTTTTATAACACACAACATTGGTATGGTAAGTAAATACCATCTTGAGAATGGAAAATGGTGGAAGACCTATGGCTCTTACCATTGTCAGGTCTGCTTACACACAAAACCTCATTTCGAAAGGTAATACAGAATTTCAAAGACAGTAGGCTGCAGGGTCTGGGCCCTCAGGAGTGACAGGAAGTATCTGGTCTGTATAGATTAACAGAAACAGACTCATACCTCCTCTCCCAACAAACGTCTACACAATCATTTCTCAGAAGTCTACATGGCCCCCTAAATCAATGAGTTTCATGTAAATACTTAAAGGATGAGGAAGGGAGGTTGAGAGACACCTAGCCAATAGTTACACCCTTTTTAGCAGAAAATTCTTATTTGTGATCTATTAATTATAGGACTGAATCCAAAACAAACAGTTCTACTCAAATCCACAGGGTGATTTCCATAATACTCCATTTCCATAAAGTACTCAGTTATTCAAGTGTTTGTCTCTAAAAACAACTAGTATGCAATGAAACACCAATTAGAAGTTCCAAACATCATATACCAGACAGTGCTTGTTGCAGTCTGAACACTTGTTCTTCCACTGATGTACTCTGTGGAAGAATTGTTTTCTCCTCTGTCACAGTATCACCATGCTTCATAGCATAAGGCTGCAATTTACTACATTCCAGTTTCAAGCTTTCACATTCTTCCATCATTTGTCTGTTTTCCACACTTAGTCGTTCTTTTTCCTTCCTCAAAACATCTCTGTCATTTTCTGCAGAAGACAATTTTTTACTTATGTCTTCTATTTTATCCTCAAGTTCTTCAATTTTTTTTGTAGACTCTACTTTTTCAGTTTGTAGAACTTGAATAATTTTTTGCATCTCATGGATTTTAGAGTGATCAGTTACTGCAACTCCTGAGCCACCTGGAACATAAACATAAAATCAAGGACCTCAAATGTCAAGTACCAAGAGATAAATAGCTTGCTATACACAACTAAGAGATTAGAACTTGAAAGGCTTGAAAAGGAAAGTACAAACAATGAGGTAACACTATGGTCCTATTAGAATGGCCAAAATCTGGAACACTAACACCACCAAATGCTGGTGAGGATCTGGAGCAACAGGAATGCTCATTCACTGCTGGAGGAAACGCAAAATGGTACAGCCACTTTGGAAGACAGTTTAGTGATTTCTCACAAAACTAAATATACTCTTATATGATCCAGCAATCGTACTTCTTGGTATTTACCCAAAGGAGCTGAAAACTTACAGCTACACAGAAACCCGAACAAGGAAGTTTACAGCAGCTTTATTCATAATTGCCAAAACTTGGAAGCAACCAAGATGTCCTTCAACAGGTAAGTGAATAAACTGTGGTACATCCAGACAATGGAATATTATTCAGTGATAAAAAGAAATGAGCTATCAAGCCATGAAAAGCATGGAGGAAACTTAAACGCATTTTGCTAAGTGAAAGAAGCCAATCTGAAAAGGCTACATACTCCATGATTCCAACTGTATGACAATTCTGGAAAAGGCAAAACTACGCAGACAATAAAAAGATCAGTGGTTGTGGGGATGGTAGATGGAGGACAGAGGATTTTTAGGGCAGTGAAAATACTCTGTATGATATGATGATGATGGATACGTGTCAGTATATGTTTGTCCAAATCCATAGAATGTACCACACCAAGAGTGAACCCTAGTAACCTATGGACTTTGGGTGATAATGATGTATCAATGTAAGCTCATCCTTGGTAAAAAATGTACCATTCTGATGAGTGATATTGATATGGGGGGAGGCCACGCATGAGGGGGATTAGGGGGTATAAAGGAAATCTCTGTATCTCCTTCTCAATTTTGTTGCAAATAAAGTTTAAAAATTGTTTTTAAAAAGCTTAATTATTACAATAAAGCATTTTAAAATAAATAGTTAAGGAAAGCTATTATTTGAATAGAATATGTTTTAGTATTTAGCCTATGTATCTGAGTTTGAAACAAAGTGAAAATACACCAAACAATGCAAAGAAATCTCTGTATTATAACTATTTACCACAAAGGCAAAAAGACCTTTCCATCTTTGCAGAATATTGACAATAGCGATGCCATTGCAAATTTCTGGCAGATGAGCAGAACTAATCATTTATTCTTTAGAAGTCAGTCCAAGTTTATATCAGTGTTCTAGTCTTATAGTGCGAGGTTTGCCATTTAATTATGTCATCTAATATGCTAAATTAATGAAATTAATAACCTTGTTGTAACAGATTTTCCAGTTCCTCAATTCGTTCTTCATAGTCAGTTAATTCTTCTCGATGCCGACGAGTTATTTCTGTCAATTTCTGTTGATGTGCATTCTGCAATACTGACATTTCATGTTGATGGTCATCAATTTCCTGACTTCGGTTCTGCTTAAGTTCCTTAAAAAAAAGAACAAAGTTAACCACATGTATAATCAATGAATTTACCTAAGCTATTTCACTGTTGTCCAAAAGTCCGTTATTATTAAAATAATTCTCTGAACATGCTAAGGCTGAAAAGAACTTAAACACAGGCCCCAAATGTGGACAATTGTGAAAGACTCCACCTTTTCCTTTCTTGGGCTTTCAAAACAGTTTTTCTACTTTTAATGATGGAACACCAAGAAGAAAAAACTGAAACAAAAAGCAAGCAAAAATATCTTTTTCCTTAGTATGTGTGACCATGAACTCCTGCTAACAAAATATTCCAACAACATCAGTGTCAGCCTCGGGCCCATCTGGACCTGTTGTTCTATTACCCCTACCCTCCCGCTCAGCCTTTCCTTCGACCAGTCTCGATGGGACCTCAGACTGTCAACCAAGCTGCCTTGTACCCAAGTTGAGACCACTACTCTCTCTCCTAGGAACCTGGATCTTGAGCTGAGTCTCTCAAAGAGGGAACCTGGATGGACCAGGAGCATTTGATAGCTGCACCCTGAAGAGTCTGTCCACTGTGCCCCACTGCCCAGATCCGTGACGCTGTTCCCTTTCCTGTCGTTCCCAAGGTCAAATGCTCAACTCTCCCTTCAATTCTGGAAAGACTACCCTGGGTCCTTCCAGTAAGATGCTTTTTGTCGCTTGTAACCAAGAATCCTAACCTACAATTAGCTTCTATTTCCTGAGATGACAAGTGAAGTTACTCTTTCATCCGATGCACTTACTTTTTTGTCAGCACTTGACAAGGAGCTTTATATTTAAATCTCTACAACAACCCTATGGGAGGTATCATGATGATACCTACTTTTCTGATGACAAAATGGAAGCTTGTAAAGGTTAAGTAACCTTCCCAAAGTAGAACAGCTGGTAAACAGCAGAGCCAGGATTCAGACACAAGACTGACTTGGGAACCCACCCACCCTAGTACTATAATAATAATAAAATCCAAAACTAGACATTCGGTACCTGACAATAATTTACACACCAAACTAGCGAAATTCCACCAGCAAGGGAAAATAACAATTTACAAAGAATAATATTAGCATTTTATTTTGTTAACCTTTAACCCTAAACCTTGAAACTTCAGCAACCTTGGAATTTTGTTTTAATAAAGTTCGTTTTTAGGCAGGCCCAGTGGCATAACGGTTAAGTTTGCATGCTCTGCTTTGGCAGACTGGGGTTTGCCAGTTCAGATCCCAGGCAAGGACCTACACGCTGCTCATCAAGCCATGCTGTGGAGGCATCCCACATACAAAAATGGAGGAGGACTAGCACAGCTGTTAGCTCAGGGTGAATCTTCCTCAAGCAATAAGAGGAAGATTGGCAACAGATATTACCTCAGGGCCAATCTTCCTCAACAAAAATAAATAAAGACTGTTTTACAAGATACAATAGAAAATGGAGACTAATGAAATATAAACTACCTAATAAATAAAAATTCAAAACCAAATGATTTTGGAAAGACATTTCTATGTACTTTACTTGGCATAAAGAACAAAGATACAAAATGATAAAAAGAAACAAACATCATAATCTATATAATGACTTTTATAACAGAGCCTCTTGCTAATTTAGGCTTATACTTTCAATAAGCAAATTTTAGATGTCTAACAGCCACTGTTCCAACAATCTGCCTTACCTTAATGATATTCTGCAGTTTGCAGATTTCATCTTGATCAGAGCTATTTGATCCTTGTGCTTTAGAAGTCTAGACCAGAAAAAGAGAATGAGAAAACATTTTGATTTTCTCATAAAACAGAAAGTCAAAAACTAACTTTATTAAAAGATACTTTTCAAAAAAGGGGCATTTCCCAGACAAATTCTGCTTAAAGAATGCCAAGTACCTTTTAAAGAACCTCGTCTAATAGTGAGTAACACATAATAACTAAGAGATACCATTCAAGAGTTTGTTAACTGATTGGGGAGACAACACTTTCATAAGGTAAGAAGGAAAATATCATTGAATATTTTACTTAGCTTAACAAAATGTAAATTTGATGATAATCAAGCGGCTTCCTAAAAGATAATTTCTAAAATGGAATGTTACCCAATATTAACGCTAATAATAACCCAGTAAAAATCTTTTTTAAATGATTTTACCCAGAAGATCTCTATCCCAATATAGAATAACCTTTGGTTTGACAAGTAAATAAAAGAACTTCTGGATTCTTCTCCTCTCATTCAAAGCTGTATATTGCTCATTCATCTTTATTAACATTTACTATACAGTGTGTTTTGCTGTTAGTGTCACCGAGTAGATTCCAACTCCTAGCCACTCTGTGGACAGCAGAGTGGAATCCTGCCCGGTCTTTTTGCACCATCCTCCCACCTTCCAGCCCATCTCAGACAATGCTCTGCTGCCATGCATAGGGTTTTCATGGCCAATTTTTTCAGAAGTGGGCGGCCAGGTCCTTTTTCCTAATCTATCTTAGTGTGGAAGCTTCACTGAAACTTGTCCACCCCAGGTGACCCTGCTGGTATTTGAAATACCAGTAGCATAGTTTTCAGCATCACAGCAACACAAAGCCGCCACAGTGTGACAACTGACAGACAGGTGGTGTGCTTCCCTGAGTGGGAAAGGAACCCGGGCCGTGGCTGTGAGAACAGTGAATCTTAACCACTAGACCACCAGGGCTGGCCATACAACGCGTTAAGGAACCAAAAGCTGCTCTCCGGATGAAAGAAGGAACACAGTATAATGGAGAGAACACAGGATTTGGAGCTGAAAGACATGTGTTTCAATCACAACTTAATCACTGGGACAATGAGTACATTACCTAAATTTTTATTTCACTTACCTGCAAAATAGAGGTAACAAATACCACACATAGTCATTAAGGATCATATAATATATAGTATGATAGTATATATGGAAACATCAAGTATAGTACAAATATTAATTTTCATTATGCCTTGCTAGAAAATTAAGTCCCCTGAAAGGTCCTAATCATGTCTTTTTCATCTTTATATGCCAGTACAGGTCTGTCATATAGTGGGCATTCAAGACACGCTGAAGTAAAACCAACCAAAAGTCCATCTCTTCTCTATGAACTCTTACCCTAAGTAATGTTTCTTGAAATGAGTTCCTCAGGTTATCACAAGCACCTGGGGTATTTACCTGTTTGAATGCAGTTTCCAACACCCTGAAATAGGCTACACAATCCTAACCCCTGCAGGGAGGACAGGGAATTCAGTTACCAAGTACCCAAAGTCATTCTCACACATACAGAGCTTAGGAACTACTACTTTTTAGAGAGAAGATGAACACACACAGCATCCTCTCCAAGGTTTACACAGGGTATTGGGAATGTCTAGCAACTTGAGAAGCAAGGAAGTCATTTTAATTGGGAGCATTTCTCCCTCACCTTAGACTACAGCGACAAAAACAGAAAATAATCCCCTCACTTATATATTTTATTTTTCTCTACACTGATGAAATTAAATCCAAATGAACAATGTTCCGGTTTATTCTGGGTCTCATGTCTATTGACAACCTCAATAGTATAGAAAATCTCATCTGTATGACAAAAAAGTGCTCCCTGGAGGAAAGTTTACAGCCCAAGATAGCAAGGGTTTAATTTCTAATGCACGAGAAACAACACAAAATACTTTAACATATTTTACAACACTATCAGATTTTCATTTTGCACATAACTAATGCAAACAGGAACCTCAAACATCATCTACGCACACAGTGTCCAATCTGGTTCCTTGGAGCCCCAGCTTCCAACCAAGCAGCCTCAAGGACTCCAGGGGGAAAGGCACCGGTTAAACCACAGCAACTCCAGTTCCACTTTCTTTAAGCCCTGGCCTTATAACTTTTTATTTTAAACACGGTTCTGCTGAAACGTGGTTCTGCTGCTTTAAATTTTTTTGAAAATTTCTTCCAAATATTATACAGAAGGGGAAACTGAGGCTGACAGAAAGATAACCTGACTAAAATCACTGAGAAAGTCACTGGCAGCAGAATTTGAATGCAGGTTTTCCATTTCCCAGTCCAGGGTTCTTTGCAATACCAAAGCTCCACACGGACCAGTATTCTTACTCACTCATAGTTTTCAAAGTCGGGAAAATTTTACCTACCTGAGCAATATGCCTCCAATGGCCAACTTCAGACTCAAGTCTTGAAACTTCATTTGATAATCTGTTTATTTCTTGTTGCGATGAAATTATGTCACCAAAGTCCATGTCATCGTCGTGGAAAGCTGAAGCATGGTGGCTGACACCATAGCCAAATGAAGACGACGCAGTGGTTGCTGGTACGCTGCCAGCTCCCGAACTCACTGACTGCGCGGCTGACTGCAGCTTCAGCAGCTGGTCCTGTAGCGCAATCTGTCTGGCTTTAAGATGGCTGATTTCCACCTATATATTTACAACCCTCATTTTAGAGAAGGTATTTTAAAATCATCACATTGATCTTTTTATAGATTCATAACGTTAAACGTTCTAATAATTTGTTTAAGATTATCCAATGATGGTACTCTATCAACTGAATCCAAGCCTTCTATGACATCTCGACCATAACATTTTTATTTAAAAAACAAACAAGGTTAATGTTTCTAATAGTATGAAGATCAGAATTTCACTTATGTGTTAACTAAAGCAACGAATTTCTCAAACATAGGTTTACTATCTTCTACATCTCAGGTAGTACAGGCAATTTCTTAGGGTTCTGTTTGTGATTATCCAAGCTCAAATGATGAGAAAATGAAAGCTGCGTCAGTCTATGCATCGGAAAGTTTCCTTAAAATATCTGTTGGAAGAGTCTTACCTAACCAATTATTGCTAAATTTAGCCTTAAAATGCACCATGAATCAGGAGTAACTTTGTACTGGTCTGCACAACACAGCTGGAAGGACACTTTGATTTATTAATCCAATCTTCTCAGATAAGATAACACAGTGAGCCCATGTTTATTAGCCCATGAGTCTTGAAAGGAAATCACAACACACTTAAAGAGGCTTTGGCATTAGCCTTGGCAGAGCGGCCAGTGAAAATCGGCTCTGCTCAGGGACAGAACAGTATAAAAATTCAGAAACCCTGAGCAAAGTTTTAACTGAAGGCTGACAATACCAAGTCATTGTCCAAAAGAGGTTATGAACACAGGACTTAACATAATGCCACATCCATTCTGAGTGAGAGATTACTCAAAACATAAAAGTGAGTAAGCTAGAGAGCTGAAAAAAGCTTTCTGTAAAACACTCAAACTAGTCCAGAAGACATGCTGCCACAACTGAGGAAAACCTGATACTGAGGAGATAGCCAACAAGTAAGTATATCTACATGTGTGACATCAAGCAATTAGACAAACAAAAACCAAACGCAACTATGTCAAATGTCATAACAAACAGGTTTTTCGTATCAGAGGCCCTTCTCTAACGGAGATTTCTGGTAGTGTACAAGTTTCATTCATTTCCCATAAATGACATGAGGCAGACTGCATCTTTGGGGAATATGAACGTCACAATGAGGGCAGCAAACAGGTTCAGAAAATAGCAGATCTAAAGAATATTCATGTGCGCCGGCCCAGTGGTACAGTGGTTAAGTTCGCGTGCTCTGCTCTGGCAGCCCAGGGTTTGTGGGTTCGGATCCCAGGTGCAGACCTACACACCACTCGTCAAGCTGTGCTGTGGCGGCATCCCACATACAAAACAGAGGAAGACTGCCACAGATGTTAGCTCAGGGACAATCTTCCTCAAGCAAAAAGAGGAGGACTGGCAACAGATGTTAGCTCAGGGCCAACCTTCCTCACAAAAAAAAAAGAAAGAAGAAAAGAATATTCATATATTACCTTTCATTCTACTAAAAAGTACTGAAATGTACAATTTTTTCAAATAGTTATAATACAAAGAAAGTTCTCATTATACAACATACATATTAAGTTGTAGAGTTAAAAAGTGCAAGCTCTAATAACACAGAGGCATTTCTAAACTTGAATGCTTAATTTGCCCTCTAATATCAATAGTTAAGTAGAAAATAAAATGCCGAGACTTTCCAGAGCAGTGTTTTCAGCTGGGATGTAAGCGCCAGAATCACCTAGTGAGTTTTTGGGAAATACCAATAGAAGGACCCCTTCCCAATACATTAAATCAGAATCTTCTGGAGGACATGAGCATGCATATTTTTTTAAGGTGTCACTTATGATTCAGCTGTAAACCCTGGGTGGGAACTACCACTCTACTCTAACACCTGTAAGTCAGTGCTGCTCAAAGCGTAGTCATGGACTGACACCAGGAATTTCCACTAGCAGTCCATGACAAGATAAGGACAGAAGTTGAAGGAGTCAGGCTTGAAGAGTTTTAAAGCAATCTGGCAGAGTAATCTTATACCTGCTGAAACTTTAAAAAAAAAAAAAAAAAAGTGGGCTTTTGAGTTTAATTTGAACTTGTAACTTTGCTTTTTTATATTCATCTTATTTTTGTAGTAACCCATTTTTATCGTATTTTATGAAATCAATTTCCAAAAGATTGGAAATTTAAGTTCTTTTTTAAATGTCTGTATTTATCTTTAATGTGGTTTATTTGTATTTTTCATCTTAGTATGTCACTAAAGGAACTAGAAATCAATCTACCTAAATTTTAAAAACCCAAATATGAAGTTATGGTAGATATGAACATTTAATTAAGAAGCTGAAGAACACCCAAATGGATAATAAAATAAGCAATGGTTCAATTAAATAGACGTATCTACTGAATTCCACTTATGTACTAAATAAAAGAGAATTCAACAGAACGAAACATGGGGATACAGTCTATATTTTAAGGATTCACAATAACATTGGTTAAATTATATAATCCCTATATGAGGACAGCTCAGCAAAGATAAGCCATTTCCAAAATAACCATTTCCAGCAAACTAATCCATTTATAGAACAGTATAAGTCTACTATAAAATACTTAATATTCTGTTTTTCCACGGGAGACCAAGTAAATGCCAATACAACATATACTAACACTTGTAGTTAAAATCACTTTTTAAAAAAAGGAATGTCATTAGCAATGATCCACTGATTTAAAACAATTTTGGGTAAACAGATAGGGAATTAGGTTTCATAAAACCAGAAATTATAAGCAACAGATGCCTGACAATATTTTATATAAAGACTTTTCTTCTTTTGGAAAGGAGAAATTAAACTCCACGAAGGTTAGTTTATGTAATACAAACTTCATAGAAAAGCTTACAGAGTTCTTGTTAAATTAGTGACATCAAACTGAGTTGGGAATTATTAACTTCAACACACTTTCAATATTTTTATGGACCTAAATATAGCTCTTAAAAACTTTCATAAACACACTTCCGCAAAATGAACATGAAGGAACTGTAACAACCTTTACCTCTTTCTGTTGGAGTTGACTGCGATAACTTGTAGACTGCTGCTTTATTTGAAGTTCTGATGCTTCATGCTTCTCTTCTAGATCACTGCAAAGCTTTTTAAGCCTCTCATTCTAGAAGCAAAGAAAAAAGTATTTTCCACAAAAAAAACAAAAGTAAAAATGTTACTAACAGTTATGCACATGGCATTATGAAAAACATACTGCTTCATACGATAAAAGATGTAAAATATAGCCAGTTTCAGACAGAATTCTGGCCTTTAAAATATATTTTCAATTAAAGCTACTAGTACAATAAGCATGTTTACAAAGATTATGCGTAATTCTGAACAAAAGTAAAAAAAAAAATGCTCAGTTTGATTTTCTGCTAAGAACAAGCCACTGATGAATGCTTGCCCATCTTTGTATACGCAGTGTCTAGCATATAGTAGGCAAAGTCTGGTAAATTAATGAACTAGATCACATGTGTGAACTTCTGTTTTCTCCTCAATAGGAGAACTTTTTTAAACAAAACTTTTTAAAAAAGAATTCTGGCTGAAGTACAAGCAGGAGGCCAAGACCTCAGATTACTTGTGTGCCTGAACTCCAGGCTCCTGAGGCACCTATGAAAAATCCAATCTGAAAACCACTACTAAAACTCAGTTTGAAAAACTACAATTAGAAGTACACAAAATAGGGGGCCAGCCCCGTGGCCGAGTGGTTAAGTTTGCGCACTCCACTTTGGCAGCCCAGGGTTTCGCCGGTTCAAATCCTGGGAGCGGACATGGCACCACTCATCAAGCCATGCTGAGGCGGTGTCCCACATGCCACAACTAAAAGGACCCACGCCTAAAAATACACAATTATGTACTGGGGGGCTTTGGGGAGAAAAAGAAAAAATAAAATCTTTAAAAAAAAAAAGAAGTACACAAAATATTCTAATTCAATGAATCTAGACATCACAGTCTGTTAAGATGTTAGAAAATATGAAAAAAATACTTAAATTTTATGTACCTAAATTATTCACTGTTTATCGTTCTTTGACGTTTGAAACGAATAAGGACATAATGGAGCGAGAGAAATGGACACAAAAACTTTCTAGAAAAAGGAACTTACAAATTATTAGAGATAATTTACAGAGAATTCTACTAATATATCTATAAACACAGTTTAACAATAACTGAGAACAAGGAGACTGATGGTGAAGACTTTTTCTCTTTATGGATGTCATCTGTTTTCTTCTTTTATTGTTAGTACCAACAAGCTGATTCTGCTTCTAGCGATCCTGTGTACAGCAGAGCAGAACCCGCCCCATTGTTCTGCACCATCTTCTTAGCTTTCAGCATCACAGCAACTCGCAGCTGCCACAGTATGACAACCAAGAGACAGGGGGTGTTCTTCTCTGATCGGGAAAGGAACCCAGGCCGATCTCAACCACTAGACCACAAGGGCTGGTTTGTTTTTTCCTTATATTCTAGGAATTTCTTACATCAACAGACGTGAAAATTATGACCCAAGGAGATTATATGAATTTCCAGAGAAAATCAATGGAGTAAATTAAAGGAAAAAATTACAGCATACATAAATCCTAGTTTGGGAGTCTATCTCCCGAAATCAAACACAGACCTTGGTTATCTTGAAGAAATAATAATAAGAAACAGGACCAATGGTTAAACAACTAATACCTTCCATTGTATTGGCTACATTTGCATGATTTTCTGTGAGCTGTTAACATGAAAAACACCATACATAATTGAAGCAACACAATATACTGAAATCAAAACCTAGTCAGAAAAGTCCACTCTAGGTTTTCTTACATAAAAATATCTAAGGCTATTTGTTTAATTCTGATTAATAACTAGAATTCAAAAACTTTGAATTTGGCCAATACCTCATTGGTTGTCTCCTCTCACCTCCCTAGCCATGAGAGTCAGAATGGTTGAAAAGCACGTGAAGGACAGATTCTCTCCATGTGGGTGACCCATAACATACCAGGAGTTATCAGTGGCCACATTTTCTATTATGTGGAATATGGAGCAGAGGGGACTACTTTGAACAAAGAATAAACACACAAAAAAAGAACAGAGAGGAATGAAAATGAGAGAGACCAATTCCCCATGGCTTCCAGTTCTGGTGGCAGCCACTTCCTCAAGGCTACAATTTTGCTCTTGGAATCCATGAGGAATTCATATCCGTAAATTATTCCATCCTACTTAACTCTTGTTCTACCATCAAGGTTTACTGGAACCAATTTTAGCTTGTGAGTTTCTTTTTTGAGCAGTCCTAACTATCTGTAAGGACTGATATTTATGACTTTTATTCTTTCTTAGAGGTTTTCCAATAAACAGAGAAAATCTGCTTATTTTTTCTTAATAGAATAAAACTCATTCTATCTTGCGATTATTGTAAGAGGACATTGGATCCTTTTATAAATCTAAGAATAATCATGGGATCATAATGATCTTGTTTTTCCTGTATCTTGAAACATTTAAAAACAATTAAAATTGAAACATTTTGCTATTTTATCATCTTAAGAATTATTTTATAATTATTCAATTATTCCCAACTACGCTAAAAAAGACTTCAACAATAAGTAAATGGAAGACTGATGAAATCACCCACAAGAATGATGCAATAGTGAAATAACCAGTTTTCTGACTGCATTGCCCAAACTATTGCCAAAGTCTTTTAAAAAGGAAAAGCAATCTGGAGACACCATCTTTGTAGCTTTTTTTTTCTTTCATTGAACACAGCTGAAAATTCAGAATTTTCATTTTTCAACAAAGAGAAGAAAACTGACCAAGGAAAATATTTCACAATTATCAGATGACTAAGAAGATAAATGTAAAGAGGCAGAAAGCAGTACTCTAGAGCCTAACAGTTATGGTGAAACTGAGTGTAGAAGCAAAATCTCACACAAGTCTTCAAAGAACAATATCCTAGATGAATTTTCTCAAACTCAAGAATTGATGAGTGAACAATATATTTCTAAGAACAAAACGGAAATATGGTGTTCTCATAAAGTTAGTCATTCAGTAAGGAAAGATTTTATCCTGCAATATTTTGTGACAAGGACCTGAACCATTCCACTTTGCTAAATGGATATGTGACAGTATTCTTTCATTATATATGATATTCATACACCAACATTTATTTGATATAATTCATTCACAAACAAATGCTGAAAGCAGGTGTGTACACAAAGGTGACTGGGAGGAAACAGATGACAGAAAAATGAAAAAAATTCATGGTATTAATCATTCTAATTGGTATTCATAAATTTAAGAATAAAAATGCTTTATAATTATGGAGCAAAGATGACAGCCATTGTCTCTCCAACTAAATCATGAGCCACCAAAGTTTTCAAAAGTATTGGCTGTCATGACACAAGTCAAGAAAAAGAACCAGAAGTAAGGATAAGCTAAAACCTATCAGGGATAATTGAAATCCGGAATCAGTATTTACAAGATAAGATACAATCCAGTTCATGCGTAAGAGTTAATAAGCAGTTAACTGCACTCAAAGAACATTGCTTATTTTGAGTACATATGTTTTCAAAACCAGAAACATAAGGAACAAAAATCTGGATTTGCTATATATTAGTTCTTATTAAAATTTCTAATAAAGTTTTCCATTATCACTTTAGTCTTACTTCTGCAAATTACTTGTAAAATGATTTAATATAAAAAAATGTAAGAGCTCACTGGATCCAGATAGTAAGTGTGATAACGATTTTTCTTGGCATAGAGAGTTAAATTAGCTTAGGCTGGTTACTGTGACTTGCAACTGAAGAAACCTAACTAATTCAGTCAGCTTCAAATATTAACATCGATAAACAAATCTAATTTCCTCGGAAAACACACTGCCCTCTGCCTATACCAAAGCTTTCTAAATAGAATTTTATGTTGTAAGTTTCCTGACAACTTCAATCACATCTTCACCTTATCCTCGTATTGCACCGCTACACAAGGGTCAGGGTACGAAGTGCTCATGTGCTGACATAAGGCAAGATCACGTATAGTCAAAACCACGAGAGAAAATGAGGCCCTTGGGAAGTCCATCTGTTTCCCTCCAGTATTTGAGCAGCTCACGCTACTTTGAATAAGCACCAAATGAGGAAGCTGGCTTTCACTTGGGGATGTACTATACGAAAAATAAGTATTTCTACACACTAGAACCATACTTGCCATTGTCCAACGATAACACTATGAGAGAGATCAGAACTGAGATCAACAGAGGGGCAGAAGATTTCTATCTCCCCTCTCAAGCTCAATACAGAGCAGACATTCATTAAGCAGATCAATCCTATTTACTTTTTCCCTCCCAAATGTACACTGGCAAATTTACCTAAATTAATGCCACTACACACAGCTCTGCCATTTAATTTTTCTGGGTGAGCCTGTACTAATGTGCTTTCTCAAGGCTTTCTTTAGGGACTATAGGGACTAAAGAAGCTGTTGAGTTCATCTGTTACTAAAACACCTACCTATTAGATAATTACAGCTAAGGTCTCTTAAGCGCCACCAAACTGCCATCTTCTATTGAGGCGGAATCTACTGTAGTTCCTCTTGAGAGGTCCTTCTACTTTCAAATTCCACAATCTCATCTGGGTAATCCAGACCAGAGATCACTAATGCTTGTTCGCAGTAAATATTTTCTTAGATTTAAATTCAATTTTCTCCTTTTATGGGCTTAGCAGAAAGGAGAACATGCTTACTACAGTCCCCTAAGAAGATGTTCTGCTGAAATACTCTTAACTGTTCCCTCACTATTCTCATGCAAAGGCTAAGGAGTTGAGTGTCTTTAGTACTTCACAATAGATCCCACTTTAAATCCTTTCCTTTTCTTTATGACTTTCCTCTGAACCCTTTCCAAGTTTTCCTCATCCCCATTAAGTACAATGTCCAGAGCCAGTCACCATGAGGCACTGACTAATAACGGAAAAAAGGGTAAAATTAACTTGCTATTCCTATATTCTTAACTTCTTTGCTCACAAATATCACTTTCTTTCATGTTAGGGGATTAAAAACCTCTAGATTAAACAGAACTGCATTCTGCACTTACATGAAAATAAATGTACTACTGCAATTTAGCACACTGTTAGAACAGTAAACCCTTGATAATGAGAAATTGTTGCCACTAGTATTTCTACATTGGCAGCTTTCCCACTTTCAGCATACAGAAGCACAGATGGGAATGTTAAATAGCAAAATGCAGTAACATGTAAACATATTCTCTAAAGGAAAATGATAACGCTTTAAAAGACTGACATAAAGGGGAAAAGAGAAAAAGTGGTAAGCAGTGCATTAAACAGAGAAGACTGAAATAAAGTATGAATAACTTTCATGGCTTCAAAAAGGAAAAATCTAAGTTCAATAGTAGTCTTTAATTTTCCTTACCTCTGATCTTAAGATTGCATGAATGGCTTCAATTTCTTTTCTCCTAGAATTAGGTAATTCTGCTACGAAAGAAACAGCATATACTGAATATATGATCAACATCATGTTAAGTAATTAATAGACATTTTAAGGAAAATATATTTCACTGAGCTTTAAACAGAATGGTATGCTGACCTGAGAACAAATTCAGAAGACAAATATCACTTGATTTTTATCACAACTTTTTATTGCCACAAATGTTCTTTATTGTCACATAAGTCATTCTTTTTGCCTATCTTCTATACCCTAGGATGTCTACCTTTACTCCTTGGAAGTATTCACTGAAATTTTGTTACGGAAAATTAAGTTTTTACAAATTAAATCTCTCTCTGTTGGCTTAGTATAATTTTACATGAAACTATGAAACTGGGGTTTAAGATCTTCTAACTTCTGCACCCAATTTGTCGGAAGTACCATCGAGTCAATTCCAACTTCTAGCGACCCTGAGTAGAGCAGAGCAGAACGCTGCCCAGCCTTTCTGCGCCATCCTCTCACGGGACCCCTTCAGACAGTGCTCTGCTGCTATTCGTAGGTTTTCATGGCTAACTTTTCAGAAGTGGGTGGTCAGGCCCTTCCTCCTAGTCTGTCTTAGTCTGGAAGCTCCGTGGAAACCTATCCACCCTGGTGACCTTGCTAGTATTTGAAATATCAGTGGCGTAGCTTTCAGCATCACAGCAACACGCCACAGTATGACAACCCATAGATCTGCTCCCAATACTATCAAATAATTAATGACCTATAAACAAAGAATGAAAATGCACTAAAAGAACACTTATTTCAAGTAACAAGGACACAATTTATCTAAAATGGGGAATGAGCTCAGTCTGGTTTTGCACATTTTCATTTAAAAGGAGGGTCAGAGGGCCAGTACTGCCAAAATGACACTGTTGATGGTGCCAGAAAATCAACATCCACAGAGTTAGATTTTTTCCTAATTACTAATATTTCTCATTACAGCACTTTAATACTATAAAAATAACTTCTCTGAATTACAGTTTAAATCAAAAGAAAATACAAATGGGAACCAATAATAACAGTGACAAACCCACTCTTCTTCTTTTGAAAATGACCAGGTAGGGTTGCTTCTGTGGTTCTTTATACATCTTGCTTGAAACTCTGACAAGACTGTCTAATTGCCACTCAGAGGAGAACAAATTATAACCTAATCTGTTGAGTAAGGTAATTGTTAGAAGCAGCAATTGTTTCAAAGGGGGATTAAAAAACGTTTATGCAAACTTTCCCCTCTTACCCCGCACCAAAAATCCCTGCCTTTTTAAGAATAAAAGGGAAATATTATGCAAACCAAAAAACTCTTCCTTAATGAGGGAAAACAAAAAATAACAGCTACGGTTTATTAATGCTTCCTATTTGCTAGGTACAGTGCTAGGCATTTTACACTCATGACTTCATACCTCATGATAGGTATGGTTATCTCTATGTAACAGATAAGGAAACTCTGCTTTTTAGAGGATAAGTATTTAATAATTTGCTGAAGATCCCACAATTTGTAATGCATGGAAGTGTAATTTCAATCCACATCTGATTTAAAAGCCCAAGCTTCTGGGGCCGGCCCCGTGGCCGAGTGGTTAAGTTCATGCGCTCGGCTTTGGCAGCCCAGGGTTTCGCCAGTTCAGGTCCTGGGCACGGACATGGCACTGCTTGTCAGGTCAGGCTGAGGCAATATCCCACATGCCACAACTAGAAGGACCCACAACTAAAATATACAACTATGTACTGGGGGGCTTTGGGGAGAAAAAGGAAAAAATAAAATCTTTAAAAGCCCAAGCTCCTAACCTTGAATAAATCAGTACAGTGTTTGCAGAACAGCAACTTTCTGATATTGTAAACACGGATGCTTTTCAAGCTGTACCAACAGTATTATTTTGGAACTGTTATCTTGTTCATTGCTGGCACAGGGCAGACACTCAATAATACTTGTTGAACGAACAAATGAACTGTACTCTGACGCTACTTTTAAACGATTTACAAAATCGATAAATTAGGTGTTAAGCAAGTCCTATGTTAATACAAAGGGAAAACAATAAAAGCATTAAGCAACTTTGCAGATCTTTAATCACTCACTCAGCAAAATTTTTACTGAGCATCTCCTACGCACGAAGGAAGATGCCACATGCTGATAATATAAGGATAAATACAATACAGTCCCTACCCTGGGCATCAAGGAAAGAGAGAAATTACAACTCAACACGGTAAGTGCTGTCAGAGAGAGATCCACAAAGTTCTGTTAGAACACAGATCGTGGCAATCAACTCAATCTGCCAGGGAGTGAGAATGGTTTCACCAAGTACTCGAAATGTAAGCGGGTCGTACAGGGAAAACTATTCTCCAGGCAGAGGAGGGGAAAGGAGGAAGTAGAAAAGGAAGGGCTTCTATGCAGAGGCTTGCAGTTGTGTAGGTACCTCACAAAATTCCCTGTGGCACAAGCTCTGGATGCAAGCCTGCATGTGTATATGAAAGTGCATATTATGGCAATTGGGACAGAAGGGGAGGGAACAAGAGGTAAGACCAGGAAAGACAGGGTGAACCCAGAGAGAACAGGTTTCTGGTCTCCCTAAACTAAGAGGTTTGGATTTTATCCCAGAAGTAAGAGAGTCAAGAGATTTTAAAGCACATTTATTTTGAGAAATGTAACTGGCAACACAACAGAAAACGGAGTGGAGCAGGGAGAAATGGGTGACAGGACATGAAAGAGAACTAGTGCATGGCAGAGAGAATGGAGGTCTGAACTAAAGAAGTAGGAGTAATAAAGGAAAGACAAACATAACAAACAATTCTGGCATAGGATGAACAAGATTTGGTAACCAGCGAAGCAGGAGATGAAAAAGAAAGGCAAAACAAAGATGACAAAGACTTCTAGTTTAGGAGATTGGGTAGATAGTGAAACCATTAAGATTGAGAATACAGGAGCACATTTGGTGAGAACAAAATGAATTCCACCTGAAGTCTGCAGGACATCCAGGTTGGGGGATGCATATTTTCTGGCTAAGGGTCAAAGGAAAAGCCAACTGTTTTCCCCCTACATAGGACACAAGAAAAGACTAGTTGTTTCCTGCGTTATCCAGCCCTTCTTTGCTTCTAGTGCCCTCAAGGTCATGTGACCCTCTCCTGAACACAGGAAGAATTCCTTTTACTCCCAAGCCCAACCTGTCCCATCCGATGTACCTCCCTCCCAAGGGGCACCCCAAGCAGTAAAATGGGTTTCAGCAGCTCCCCAATCTTCTTCCCTTCTAAATAGACCCGGCAGAAATTCTAAATATAAACAGTCTTTTTATCAAACTATCCTTCTCTCCTTCAACCAAATAAATCTGAAAGCTCAGTTAAATAAGGATAAAAAAAATTAAACCAGAACGCTGATTTATTAATTTTTAAGTAATAAAAATAAGGAGTTCCTTCCTGTCAAAGGAACTGCTCTCCTTCAAAAGTCCAGCCCATTATCTCTCTGGAGGCAGACCTAGATTGAAATTAAAGAACTCTTTTGATCTAAATAGTGCTTGCTGGAAGAAATATCAAGAAATCAAAACCGTAATTAACTGAACCATCGATTACCGTGTAACTCTGGGTCACTATTCATCAGTAAAACAAAACGAGGACTTCAAAGATGAGCGAAGGTTGCTAAGGATACCAAAATAGAGTATCTTCCTTGTTCTACTGTCGAAATATGAGAGGAATGGGCAATTAGGCACAAAAACACATTTTCAGCTCGAACGCTGTAATGTGTCACCAGAATAAGCAAAAATATAAAATAATAGGAAAAACATCCATAGCCATGTTTCACTAGCAATAGAGTCAAGCCAGAAACGGTAAGAGCCACACTAAATATTTTAATTACGAGTTACTTCAATTGTTACCAAAAAAACGAGGAAAACAAGAAAAAGTGACCATGTGTCATACAAAACTACTTTTTTGAACTGTGTCAGTATAAAGGAAGAAGATCAAAATCAGTACTGCCCCCAAGTTAAGGGCCAAGTAAGAGGTGGGCGTGGATGAACCAAACAAAAATAAACTCTACTCGACGCGGGAGCCGTCTCGCTCTGCTTTGAGACACCCAGAGCATTCAAAGGGAGGAGACCCAGAACTCTTCCCCTGCCCCCAGGGGTCTCCTATCAGAGGAAATCGGTTAAGAAGAGGCAAAAGGAGGAGTGTGAGAAAAGGGCGGAGTGACAGCCCTCGGCGACCCGTCCGCGTCGCATGACAGATGGAGGTGGGGACCAAACGGACGCTCCCAGGGTCCCAGAAAAGCCCTCCCTCCCATCGCTCCAGCTGTTACCTTCCACTTCCTCCGTGCCCTCCATGAGCATATCCTTCGTAAAGTTTGAAATCTGGCCAGTGAGGGAAGCCAGGCTGCCCCCGACCTGACCCAGAGACTGGCCCAAGCCGGAGCCGAGGCCCCCAAGCCAGGACGACATCGCTGCGGGTTAGAGAACGACCTGTCCGCTCCGAGAAAAGCGTCCAGCGCCGTCGGACGACCCCGCCAAGTGTCCTCGAACCGCTGCCTCCGCGAGACGAATGCGAATCAAAACCCGCAGGATTCGATAGCACAAGGAGGGGTTCCTAAGCAACGCCGGCTCCGAGGGGCGCGCACCAACGGCCGCGCTCTGCCTAGAAACGCAGAGGCCTGGCCGGGGGCTTTACCAGGGGCCCGCCTCCAGGGACACCGTCACCGCTGCGGGGCCTCTGCTCATCCCCGCGACTTCCCACCGTCCGGGTTGGGCCACTTCTTCCTCTGCTTTACTGACTTTCCCCAGTTCCGTGAGCAACTCCTGCCAACTCAACGCCGGCCGCCATGACACCCACTCTGAACGCGGCAGCGGGTCATAGAGAGGCGCCGCGGTGGTGTAGAAGGGCCCTGCGGAGCCGCCGGACGTGTCCTTGGCGCAAGGGAGCGTGGGATCGTGGAGGACCGAGTATGGCCAGCCCGTGCCGGCGCCTGCAGCCCAGGGCAAGGTCAGCGTCCACGTAGCCTACTGGCTCTGGTGGCGGGGGTAGTAGCCTCAAGAACCCGTGGCGAAACGGCGCTCTCGGCCGGCTGCAGTTGGGTTTCAGGCAGAGCAGAGCCTCGGTGGGTGCCCCACGAAGCTGCGTGTCCTGGGAGCCCCTTGGACCCTCAACCGAGTTGGTGAAACCTGATTAACTCTGGCTACACCCGCGAAGGCAGCGTGCGAGGACACTTGGCTGGGTGGCTGCACCGCGCAGGAAGTAGCTTTACATAACTGATCACAAGTTACTGTATCGATTGTTCAGCAACCTCTCAAGAGCTGTTCTGTTCCTGACGCTACGGTAGCAGCTGAGAATACACAGATGAAAAGGCTGGGTGGCAAACTCAAGGGTCCAGGGAGGATAGACACATATTGATTACCTTGTATAGTACAGATTTCTTCTGGCGGCTCCAGCTCACAGTAGAAACCCTGCCTTCTTTAAAATACGAAGAGCTTTATTCATGAAGCCGACTCAACCCATGAAGAAACAGGCCACCTTTTTTCAAAATAGCTCATTAGAAGACAGCATGGCAACTTATAGAAAAAATGCTGTTCCAATGTAAACCCTCCTGTGGTTTTGGTGGCACTAGCTGTGCAAGTGCCCACCCCTCCCACAGACCTGTCACACAAGGTGGTATGCACACCAGTGTCCTGCCTTGCCCGCTTTCCTCCCTAAAGGAAGAAAGGTCACGTGACTTACAAGCAATTGTTGCAATGACACGTGGACGCACATTACCTGGCGGGAGAGGCTACCACATTTTCGCTTTCAAAAGAATGGAATAGATGTGCAGGTCTTTTAAGCAGAGTAATAAATGCGCTGGCATCTTTCTCTTTGATTTTATTCACAGGAGGGGCCACCACAGATTGCACCATTTGTGAATGGAACACTGGGAATGCCTCCGGTATTTGGAATCAATGGCACGAGGCAATAGTAACTGGCCCTGAAATGTGAATGCTTTTGAAAGAAAATTTCCATCTCGCTTTGGAAGAGTTTATTAAGTGTTTTCCATATATTTGAAAGACGTCATTGTCCATGGGTTAGATGTGCAGACTCCGGGGCCTGACTGCCTGGATCTTTCCCTTATTAGCTATATGACCTTGGGTAGGTTACTAAACCTATCGGTGCATCAGTTTCTCATTTGTCAAATGGGGAATGATAATAACAGTGCCTACTGGATGGGATTGTTAGGAGGACTAAGTAAGCTAATATTTCTAAGTGCTTGGAACAGTGCCTGGTACATGGTGAGTTCTAGTTAAGTGTTTGTAAAGGTTTTAAATAGTGGTATACGGGTGACCTGCAACTTATTAATGTGTCTACCTTTATTCTGGGCAGTGGGAATACAGCAGGAGAAAAAAAAACACACACACACAAAGTCCCTGGTCTCATGGAGCTTGCTTTCTACTGGAAAGGGACAGATGTTAAATAAAATGTAACAGATATAAAACAGATGGTGATGACTGCTATGAGGAAAAAAATAAAAAGACAGGGTAAGGATGATATGGAAAGGCTGTGGGGAGACAGGGCACTTGTAATGTTGTAGAGAGTGGTCAGGGAAGGGCTCACTGATAAGGTGATGTTTGAACCGAGACTTGGAGGAAGGAAAAGAGTGAGATATGTGGGTATCTGGGAAAGAGCAGTCCAGCAGAAAGAAACAACTGATGCCAGGGTCCTTTGGCAGGTTAGAGGATCAGCAAAAAAGGCAAGGATGGTTGGAGCAGAGGGGGCTGGGAAAGGGTAGTAAGCAATGAGGACCAAGAAGCAAGAACAGGAGAGGGCAGACCACACAGAGCCTGGTAGGTGTTGTAAGGACTCCAGCTTTTACACAGAGTGGGATGTGGAACCATTAGTTAGATGGAGAACCGTTAGTGGGATGGGGGACTGCTTTGAGCAGAGTCGTCACATGAACTTAGGACCTCACTGGGTACCTCGGTGACAGTGAAAAGTTTAGGCGCTGTAAGTCAAGCTCATATTTTCTACAGGTGTGAAGTCTCCAGAGTGACATTTCCATAAATCCATGTCATGCCATAAAGATACTGCAAATAATGAAGAAAACAAACACAAAGATATGCCTTTACATCATTTATTAAGTGATTAACATAAAAGCTACATCCTAGAAGTTCCTTATGGGGGATTTTTTCTGTGGGATTGACTATGGCCCAAGAAACTTAAAAGTGTGATTCTGATAAATAACATGATATGATGTTTGGGATGTGCTTCAAAATAATAGGGGCAGGGTAAATGAAACAAGAATTGTCAGCAATTGCTCATTATTGAAGCTGGGTAACGAGTACACAGGGGTTCATTATAGGAGTCTTTTACTTTTGCATATGTTTGAAGTTTTTCATAATAAAAAATTAAAAGACATACAAGTTTGATGACGTCTGGGCTGAAGACCCTCCTCCTTCTCCTGCCAAATACTCCTGTAGTTAATATAGGTGTTCATCGTTCCACGAGTAGCAAAACCAGCCCAGCACAATCAAACATACCACAACAGACAAAGCCCGTGAACCTGAGTGGCTCCAGGCAGTGGCGTCTAGGCTGCCCGGTTGAAATTCTCAACCTAGGACTTTTGAAACCACGTGGATATAAACAAGAAAAAAAAAAGGCAAACAAAAAACTACTATCAGCTGCAAACTGGTTTTCGTTTCTGAAGAGGTGGGATTATCAATACTTCTATAGGAAAAACAGTTCCTTTGAGAAAACCATCCAAATGGGCTTATGTATACAAGTGTAAAGCAAAAAGCCATTTTTAAAGTAGACTTTAAAATATTAGTCTGATCTTTCCCTCTGAATTTCTAAATATGATGCTTAAAATGCCATTTTTCTCATTAATTTTAGACATGGTGTACCAACTTTCTATTATGGAAAACAGAAGATTTAGCACTCTTCTATTACCCTGTGACGCCACTTCCCTTCCTTAGAGTTCCCAATATAGTGCTATCATGAATATTGGTAAAATCACTAATCAACATTCACCTTGTATAACTATATCAGTATTGTCCATTGCTGAGCCAAGAGGTGTGTACAAAGATTACATATCCTTTATTTTTCAACTTTTTTTCTTCCTGAAGTTAACAAATTCCATCTTTTAAATTTGCGCAATTTCCTGTTACTGCAGAATCACTAATCCTTCTAAAACTTACTAACAAATTGTAAAACATGCTAATTCTGTTTTCAACAAAGCATCAATAATTCTATTATTTGTTTACACTCAGTCCTCTCTACCCAAAACCCTATGGTTTTCTGCTCCATTCTCCCTCTGACTATTCTCTGGGCCCTGTTTTTCTTACTGGAAGCTTATAGAATCTTCTCTTTACCTCTGATGCTCTGAAATTATAACAGTGTGCCTCAGGGTGAGTTTGTTTGTTGTTTCATTCATTATGCTGGGCACTCAGCAAACCCTTTCAAAAACCATTATCTTTTACTTCTGCAAATTATTTAAAATATTTTTAAAGTATTTTTTATTGATGGATTCCTTCTAACAAATCCGTTTTTTCAGAAACTTTTAGTCAATTCTCCTGATTTCAGACTACATTTCACCCCCACCTTCCAAGATAGTTGTTGCTTTCATTTTTTGTGTACTGTTGGGCGTACTTTTCTTAATACTTAGTATTCAGCTTCCTCAGTTCTGCTCATTCTGTATCAACTTTCCATCTAACACAAAGATGTTCACATCTCACTTCTGCTGTTGTCTCACCTGGCAGTGACTGCTAATTGCCCCCAAAAGTCTCTTCTCCCCTTCAAGCATAGTCATTGAACGCTCACTTTCTACCTGGGTGCATGCCCAGTGCCTCTCCTGATCCCCTCATCCCTTTACCATTTTCATTCACACCTGTTTTTGGGGTGCTTTCATTCTGAACAGCCATCACCTATTTCTCTCTGGCAAAGGATCGTCTTTGGGCAGCCAATGCCCACATTGTCTGTGTGCCCAGAGAGCTGAAACACAGCCTTGTTCAGCGATATTTTTAAATGATGCAGCTCCCTCGCCTGTGGGGAGGGACAACTCCAAGATATGAATATACAGATACTCAGATATGCATCACTACAGTTGATGATGTGGATTGATGGGCAAAGTACCATCCTACGTGTTCAGAACTGAACTATAGTGATGAAAAAAAGTGCATAAACTTAACAGGAAGAGAAACAAAGTCAACAAGCGGGGACTAGGAGCCTTGCCTAAAATTCTTATCTGAGACAGGTTAAACAGTATCTGTAGTGTTAAAAATTCAGCCAATTTTTTGGGTTGCTTACGGTGGACACTGGCATGGAATGCTCTTTGGTAGAAGGTGTAGTTAATAGGCCTTTTAAGAGATGATTTTTTTAAAAAGGCTTGGGGATATTCTAGAAAGGAGAGAATATTCTAGAAAGTGGAGCCAGATTGGTTGGTGTAGTAAAATGTAAATACAATTAAACATATTTTTATAAAACTTTACATGATAAGATTTTGCCTATAGAGGCTGGCCCGGTGGCGCAGTGGTTAAGTTTGCATGTTCCGCTTTCGTGGCCTGGGGTTCGCTGGTTCGGATCCCCGGTGCGGACATGGCACCGCTTGTCAAGCCGTGCTGTGGTAGGCGTCCCACGTATAAAGTAGAGGAAGATGGGCATGGATGTTAGGTCAGGGCCAGTCTTCCTCAGCAAAAAGAGGAGGATTGGCAGCAGATGTTAGCTCAGGGCTAATCCTCCTCCTCAAAAAAAAAAAAGATTTTGCCTACATTTCAACTCCATCTTTTGTTCATTACCTACTGGCCTCTTCAGTGTTCTTTCTTCCTCAGACACAAGCAGCCACTCCTCACATCAGAGCCATCAAGCCTGTTGTTCCCTCAGGCATGTATGGTGGCACACCTTTGCA